GGCAAATGAAATATATTACTTTCACAGTGATGAACAGGGAGGCCAATGATATTTCTATGCAAAGTCGGCTAATTTAAATTACAATTTTATCCTAATAATTTCTAGCTTTTCATAGCTATTCATAGCTTAGCTATTGGTAATGATCTCGAGAAAACTGGTATTCCTGATCAAGTTGTACGCGTCTGATGTAGCAATAAGTAAAAAGTACAAAAAAGGTGGATTCTCATACTTTTCACACCGTGGCTTCAAGCGAATGGTACATTTCATCACCGTCGCTGCCATTACCGTTACTAGTCATCTGGGCGACCGCTGACGCAGAGTAGAGCCAGCCCTGGAGCCAGCCGACTGGAACAGCCAGCTGCGCGACGGGGAAGGGGCCCGAACGACGGCGTCACACGCGACGGCGTTGGTGCGAACAAATAGCACTCAGGATCGGGTGTCGCGACAATACAGCCGATATGATTTATGACAGCTGGTGCCTATCGCCTTTGTCAAAAGTACATCAAAATGTAACGTGAGGAGACGTCGTTAACCCGGCCCCGCCCGGAGTACTTCGCTCATCGCGACAGCCCGAAGGGGGGAAAAAGTAACCTCCAGCATCTCAGAATTTGATAGTTGAATCGGAAAAATTATACCCATCAATAGTCGTGGTCAATGTTTCTCAATATTCGTTAGGTTCAGATCTCACTGGACCGATAGCGCATTATTGCTAAAATGCTTCGAAGCAATAAAGGTACACGAACGAATTGAGGGCTACCTATTGCGCGTACAATTCATGGCGGTGGTACCAGAGGCACGTACCGGGGTGGGGGGGAGGCACATGCACCCTCTGTATGACCTCAAATGTAGTAAGTTAAAAAGCAAGGTAGACGCGTTAATGCGCATTGAAAACCTTCGATGTTTTAACAGGCGTCCAGGTGGCCGGCCGGGAATAACCTTCGCTCGAGTGGAGGAAGTCAATTTGTTCCCTGAAATCTCAACTACTAAGAAAGCCAGGGGCTATATAATATATATATATATATATATATATATATATATATATAATCTGTAAATAATATGCTGAGCATATACATATACATATACATATTATATATTTATATATACATATCCTGTAGATGTGGCATTTTTCAGGATGCGGGATATGATGAAGGACGACCCTTGGTTATTCTTTTAGAGCATCTGAAATCTGAAGCCAGATTACATCCGTTGCATATATCACACAATGCAAACAATGTCCATATCCAATATGGAAAATGCAAACAATATACTTTGTAAAATTCTGAATGGCGATGTACGATACTGTCAGAAAAATGCATTTTGACTTGACTGGGTGTTTTGTGGTGCAAAGGATGTCGTAAAAAGTAAACTAAGGATGTAAATAAAACTTCGAAGTGGTGATATATTCTACCAATACATGTATGTATGGAAATGTTTACAGTAAACACCCGATGAGCGTATCATACAATGACAAAAGCCGTGCTGTGCCAGGGGCAGATGCAGGGCTAGACAGCTAGCGCTGAGGTATGTGCCGCTGTTTCGGGATTCTGAGTTGCCCCTGAAGTCAGTGGCGACGGAACCTCTGTGCAGACGGGGACTGACGTGATTCTCACCTCGTTGCTTTCCATGCACCACCAAATGTTACTATTAGACTTAATGCTGAATGTGGTCCGGAGTTGGGGGAAGAGGGAACGGTGTAGCTGCCTCCTGCCCCCCCCCCCCCTCCCCCCTCCCCCCGCCCCTAATCAATTATACCTGCCCTGCTGAGTTTACTAAAGAGATTAGAGCTCAGATCCAGCAATTACTAAAAATACCAAACGCTTTCAAAATGAGTACCCTTAAGATGCCTTTGCAAATAGACGGCTTGGAGCGTCAGCGGTGGCACGCTTCAGGCAGATCAGACATGCTGACAGTTTTGAGACCAATTTATAAGATGATAAGAGCAAATAAAAAGGATGTGAGACCAAATAAGAAGACCAAATGACTCGTGCAGATACTTTTTAAGAGCGTGTTGTAAAAGCGTCTTGGTCGGGATAAGATAAAAGCAAAAGTGTAGTTCAAAAGTAAAAACCTTCTGATTGCATTGCTAGGCAGGCTAAAGCAGAGCAACAATTCGTAGTCTGGTTTGTAAGGCTGGGCAAATTGTATAAGCCCATTAGCCAGCTTGCTAGTGGCGGATATAATAATATTTAATATGGGATCTGATTACCACGCAATGTGCCTCTGAAAACACCTTTGGAGAACGTATAACGTAACTTTTTATGTTATCTAGCCGATACTTATTCAAACGTTCAGAGCTCGTGACTGTGGTCGTCGCGCGGCTGGACCTTATAAACGCCCCCAATGGGCACGGAACTGGACGCATGCTGGACGTTATAAACGCTGGATGTTGCGATCTTGGACGATATGTGCGCCGTATACTGCAATTTTGGACGTTTTGATGGCTCCCCGTGCCATGGGATGCACATGAAAAAATATTTATGACGTCATGTACGCTGGCGGGGCTGATCAGCCTATATAGACAGGGGGCACATGCTACCTTCCCCTTGACAAGGACATGCATCCTGGCGCAGATGTGCGCCATATTAGATGTCGCGTATATGCGCCTCCGGCGCGTGAATGGGAGATTTCGTAAACAGGTTCACCGACATCAGTGTTTCATGCGGTTGACGGACTGGGTAAATAAGAGAACCGAGAAAGGGTATTGCGTGGTTGTAATCTATGAGAGCCATAGAAACGTACTTCCGTTCAAAAAGTCAATGATTGCCCTGCAGGCGGCTGGCTGTCGCTGGCCTGGCCTGCTGACTGAACAGAGCGCGCCCGCTTCCCGTCTGAGCAATCCAGAAGTAGGTCAAGTGTGGTCGATTCCGGCGAAAAGTTGGGATGAAAAGAATGGAGAAGGACCGTCATTTGAGGGACCTGACTCAAGTTTGCAAAAAAAAATACGTGCTTTTCGCGGGACGTTACATCCATGCGCCGGACATTGCTGTGGTACTCTCTAAGAAGACGTCACTTACTTTTCAGGTATCATAAAGAAAGGGTTCCAATCGTACGATTCTCTTGAAAACTGGACAATAAGTTATTTGAAGGATATTGTTTCAGGAAATCATCCTGTTTATACCTCAAATCCACAAATATATTATATATATCAAGAAGCGCCCTCGGGTCCTCACCCGCGTGTTCGCGTCGCGAGTAATGTTGATATAGGTGCCACGCGTCTTCTCGGGGAAGTGTGGTTCGCGTATTCACGTCCAACCGATGATGACGCCAGACCCATACCAATGCTTCTTTATCCTTTATTAAGCGATGCTGATGATATATGACGGATGACAAACAAATGCTGCGCCTTCAAAATGGCTGAAATCTTTGAATACGCCCTTCTACGAGCCGTTAATACGCGATGCTGAAGACAGTCGCTGGGATATGAAACAATTGCTGCGTTTTGAAAAGTGATGGGCTGCTTACGGAGGTTCAGCTTTGCGGAGCAGACTCGTGGTGTGGCCGTGGTCGACTTGGGCCACTTGCAGCCACGAGGCCCCTGTTAGGCATCGCGGCCCCTGACCGATACAGGAGCCCTTCACTGTGTCAGGGACCCGGAACATTGCAAATCGCGGCCCACCGTCCTAGTTCCCGCTTGAAAAATGGACCTAAGGGCTCAGCCGGAAATGAAGCCGACTCTTTGGCTCCGTATCGAGGCCCTATATAAAAGGGATAGATAACCGTGATAACATGGCCCTAATAAAAGCCCTCTTACTGACATTTCAGGTCACGGCACTGCGGCTGGGGTTCCGGGCCCTAGTCCAATCGAGCCCTTAATATTAAGTCCTGAGAGGCTCTCTGGCCGCTCTTCGGACTTATTCAAGCAAAGCCCGTGACAGATTAGGGACCACTAGCCCAGACACGACCTTCTGTTATGCACTGTGGGCCTGTGATAGCCTCAAGGACCCAACCACCTCTCCAGGGACCCAGGTTTAATTCAGACCGTGACCCCCAGTCTTATTCGTGCCTGGGAAATGAGCCCTCAGGGCTCAGACTGACAGAAAACCAACTGATCGGTGTTTGTGGTCTTTGACCGACTAAGCGACCTGCATTGTCTCAGAGGTCCCTCAAAAGGTGCAAGAGGACCTCGAACTGATATTCAGGTCACGATCGTATGGGCGCGGCTCTTTATGCGATCTACAGGCCAGTTCTCCGAGCCCTTTTGCCCTCCAACCGGGCCTTTGATAGTTGGTTTCGTTAGGCTTCATTCGTTAGGACTATCTGTTAGGCGCTTCGGGTCCCTGGCAGATACAAGGGCCCCGAACAGAACAATTCAATGGCTCCAGCTTTTTCCCTGTTTGGAAGATGGGCCCTCAGGCCCATGCCGCCATGAAGCCGACTGTGTGGTACTGTTGGTGCTGGACCGATTTATAGACTTACATGTACTTAGGGAGTCCCTGATCGGCGCAGAGGGTTCTATGTCATTTGACGGTCCGTCCCGTAGGTCGGGGCCCCCCGAATAAGACTCAAATCAGCCCATCGTGCGCTTACAGCCCCCAATCGAGCCCTTGATCGCCGGATCCGGTGGACCCTTAGGCTCTTCGAGCCTTCTCGAGCACTGCTTCTGGCGGACTTGGGGCTCTTGCCAGCACAGGGCTCCCTTAGACGTTGTGGAGCCCCGACTAATGTAAACCTCTCTCTCCGGCTTTGTCCCTGCTGGGGGATGGGTTCTCAGGCCCATGCCGCCATGGACCTGATTGTGTGTAACTGGTGGTGTGTGACCGACAGACAGGCTCTTATCGGCTCAGGAACTCCTTATTAGCGTGCAAGGGCCTATGGCTGGCATTGTAGTGCGTTTTCCGTTTGCTTGGTATCCTGGTGACGCCATAGACGCCATGCAATAAAGTATACAAAAACTCAATTCGCTACACAATGACGTCATCATCAGCTGGCACGTGTATGTACGAGCCTCACTTCCGCAAGAATATACGCCGCAATTATCAACAACACTGGCGGTGAGATGCTGAAGGGAATGGGAGGATGTGGGACCAGGGGGCGTTGGTATTGCCAACGTATGACAGTATATGAACGGATTCTCGGTGTAAAGGGCTTGGTTTTCCGGAAAAAGTGTGCTTAAAATACATGTCCAGCTTTTAATATAATCGTTAGGTGTGAATCCAATTTTTAGGTACGGAAAGTACGCGGCGTCTACTTGGGGAGTATCTCTCGCTCTTGCGCGCGCCGAACTCAATCCAGGCCCAATTGCGCTGAATTGTCGAAGGATGGTTGGGTGAAAACATTGCAGAGTATTTTTCCAGAAATTAATATTGCAACATGATTGCTTTCCACAACATTGGTTCTGTGCCCTGAAATTAGTTGTGAACATCCTGGCCGCATTTACAGTGTGCATGTGGTAAAATTGTTGAAGTGATCTTGCTGCTTCATGAGGCATGTTGAATGTACCATGTTTTTTTGGTCTTGACTGTGCCTGCCAAAAATTTTCAGAATGGTAGTAATTGTAGACCATACCTGAGGTAATGATTGTGGAAGGTAGTTTATCACCCCAAGCAAAACATGAACTCTGGAAATAGTTCTGTGTTCGATTTGTGTTTAACAGCAGCACATTGGTCTGAAGTCCCTTCATCACTGAACATCCATTTTGTCATTGCTGAGGTCAAAACTTTATGTTACATCAGTATCTTAATTACAATATATATATATATATATATATATATATATATATATATATATATATATATATATATATATATATATATACTTGTACTATTGCTTAAACTCAAAGTTTTTGATATAGAAGTAGCATTGCTGTTTGTGATGTTTGGTTGACCATGCACTTCACAAGTGCAGATGTGCTCACAGGCCTTTATCATGGGCTCAATCAAGAAAAAGACATCAAAGTCCTCTGACTCTGAGTTGGAAAATGAAAACTGCCGGGGAAGGGCCACCAGAAAGCCAGCTCTTCGAACTTCACACAAGATAAAATGCAAACGTCGCAGGACCGGTAAAAGCAGCAGCAGCAGCAGTGGTAGCAGCAGCAGTAGCAGCAGCTCACCAGAGTGTAGATCTTCTCAGAGAAAGACTGCCCAGGTATCTTCAACAAGAAAGATGTCAAAGACATGTGACAAAAGGTGCAGAAGTAGCAGTGGGAGTAGCAGCACCAGTAGCAGCAGCAGCAGCAGTGATGAAGAGCGGAGGCGCAAGGTTCAGAAAAAGCGGGCCAAGAAAGAGAAGAAGCGACTAAAAAAGGCTAAGAAGAAATTGAAAAAGTTGCAGAAGCAGATGAGTGTCTCTACCAGTAAGGCCAGCAGTGATGAAGAGGTGATTGGCCCAATGGTTCCAGCAGCCGGTGTAGGCCAGGCGATGAAGCCTATGACCAAGGAGGAGTGGGAGAAGCAGCAGAGCGAAGTTCGCCGCGTCACCGACCCCGAGACGGGTCGCAGTCGGTGAGTGTCCGCGAGCTGCTCGCACCAAGCAATCGCGCCCATGACCAGCGGAGGTTGGTGTACAATCCAATCCTCAATGCACGTGATGGCTCAGGCTGCAGGTCGGGCCAGGGAGTCAACGTCACCTGTCCGTTTTGCGGAGGCATCCTCCGAATCCTTCAGCACATGTCACGAAATTTTGGTTTGCTAATTCTGCAGCCTTTTTACATCAGGCCATGAGTTCCTACCATAATAGCCAGTTATGATCGCGTTCACAAGCCCTGCTCTGAAATAATTTCAAAGATTGGATTTCAGGTTTGCATTCCTGGCATTGTGCAGAACAGACATTGTTTAGTAATTGTGAATGTGTGAATGGGTAGGTCATGGAGGTCGACATTGTTCATAACCGTCGTTAATGTTGCTCGAAATCAAGATCACACCAAACCAGACCTGTAAAAGAAGTTGATGTGTTCCCATGAACCCGCTAAGCTATTATCCAAGGTGTTAGATGCGTCTGTGACAATGTAAACGGCATTTTAACCCAAGGTTACGTCTGGTCGCGTTCGAAAACACCTGAAGTTCATTGTTAGTTGGCCTCAAGATGTACCAAAGTCATCGTCGTTCACGAAATCTTGGGCGCTCTTGAGTGCTTGATTGCCTCGAGTGCCATTCAAGGTCAGGCTTGTATGCTTGGCCCGCGGACTGGAACGTGAACATAGGCAAAACAGGGATGATGAAAAGGCGGCAGGCAATATCGCATTATCATTTCCAGGTGAATGGTGGCATATTAAAGCCTGCACTAGCTTTGTTGTTCGACATGCGCAAGGCTCGTGCTAAGAGGCTAGGCTAGGCTAAGGCTAAGGCGGTGATATATAGCTGGATCTGGGCTCGCGTAACCAATCCACATTAAGATGCTGAAAAATAACGGGGTTAAAAGTTGAAGGTCGTGCGCTGGGTCGTCCAACCCGTTTTTCAACTTTTAATCTTGCTGTGCCATTAGGTATGGAATCAGTCAGGGGTTTCGTGTCGATCCCTCCTTACACTGCAAATTTAGGCTAGACTGTCTGAGTTTGCCGGGTTTATGTCATTGGAGTGTGCGGCGGGTGACCAAAACCTGGTTTGCCGTGTTTGGTGTAACCCCCACGCCCATACGACAATTCAGTTTCCGAAGCGAGGCGAGTTTTTTTTTTAGAAACATGCAACCTTCAGAATGGTTGGTTGCATAGGGTCAGAACCGACGCTAAGCAGCGCGTGGACCCTGGCCCCACCATCCGATCGTGATATTCCAGGGCAACGGCAGAATTTTGTTTTGTGGCGAAGGTTTAACGTACGGCAATGTCCAATGCGGTTCTCTCAAACCCTCTTACGTCACCCGACATACGCCGCGGCCGCTGCCGACGACCGGAGGGGGGGGGGGAGGGAGAGGAGGGAAGATCCCAACCAGGGGTGAAGGGAAGCTCCTAAAGAATCTCGAACCGCTCTGACCACGAACAGGTGAGTTCGAATGTAGACACTCTAGTCGAGCAACCGGAACGGAGTTGAAAGTCGAATGTCAATTACGACAGCACTTGCGCCCGTAAATACCAGCATATGATTTCACCAGCATATGCGCCCGTAAATACCCCGATCGACAGCCTCCATGTAAGCAGATACGATTGTTCCTTCGTGTCATTACATGATTATTTACTCCATGCCGGGGGGGGGGGGGGGGCTGTGCTGCCTGGAGCGGCGGGTCGAGCATTACCCTGTGTTCCGCCGCTGCGCTGCTGTGCTCTGCGTGTGGCCACTGCGCCGCGGTGCTCTGTCCCTCCACCGCCCGGCTGTGCCCTTTGTCCACGGTCCCTTATGTCCCGCCGCTGCACCGCTGTGCTCTGTGTCTCGCCGTATCACCGCTGTGCTCTGTGTTCTGTCGCTGTACTGTCCCGCCACTGCGCTCTGTGTCTCGCCGTATCACCGCTGTGCTCTGTGTTCTGTCGCTGTACTGTCCTGCCACTGCGCTCTGTGTCTCGTCGCTGTGCTTTGCGTCCCGCCGCTGCGCTCTGTGTCTCGCCGTATCGCCGCTGTGATCTGTGTTCTGTCGCTGTACTGTCCCGCCACTGTGCCCTGTGTCTCGTCGCTGTTCTCTGTGTCCCGCCACTGTGCTCTGTGTCTCGTCACTGTGCTGTGTGTCCCGCTGCCGTGTGACGCCGACTGCCGCCGCCAGGCTGGTGCGGGGCCGAGGCGAGATCCTGGAGGAGGCCGTCAGCAGGCAGCGGCACCAGCAGATCAACAGGGAGGCAACGCGCAACGATGGCGCCAGCTTCCAGAAGGAGATGGCCAAGCGGCTAGCTCGCTAGGTTCCCACCCGCCGTTTTCAATGCTTGCGTATGTCTGGCGTGTACTTGATGTACTGCAGTCGTTATTCAAGGCTGTGTCACTGTTCATTCAAGGCTTGTCACTTACGATTGACCTGTTGTCAGTTTGTTCGATCTTGCGTGCTCTCAATGGTTTGCCGTTGTTGCCCTCGTGTGGTTTTCGACAGATGCCCGCTAAGTGGAGGCAGTTGACCCCAGCGGTGTTCTAGTACTCCCTCCGGTGCAGCGGTGCGTTTTCAGCCGGCTGCACGAATGTACGTTGTTCAGCCTGGTAGAGATTGGGTACGAGTTGGCGTGCGTTTGTAACCGTCACTGTACCCCAGCGATGTTTTCACGGTTGAGGCAGTCTGCCCACGCCCCTCCAGCCGATCGGCGGGCGAGCGGCAGACGCATGTCGTTTCGGCACCCCGACCCGACAATACGGGCAGATCGAAAGAGTGATCATCACGTCATGGCCCAAGTCACACGGCCGTCGTTGGCTGGCGCTCGGCTCAGTAACACCGATGCCTACAAATCGCTGTGGGAGCTGGCGCACGGCACGGTACGGCTATGTGATGGTCTTGGGTAAATACATACTTGGAAAACCTCTGTGCAAGAGCATGGTGAAGTCGAGGGAAACATGCAGTCGGCATTCCTAACCAGTGGCCCACACATGTCTACTGCTTTAGTCGTGCGATGCAAGCAGGGCTAACCTGTTTCACCTCTCTGCGCATTTAGTGACGAGTAAAAACCCGTAAACCATCATATAGACAATGCTTTCACAAAGCCGTCTTTACAACTGTATTCAGATGACGTCACCGGCCGTGCGGGGTGCCTCCGTGTGCACTGCTAGAGGCGCAGCGTCTAATGGGACCATCCAGTGCCTTATCGTTGCGGGGCACACCTCGGTTCACTCCTTCCACACATGCAATTGCCACGTGTACGTCTAGCGCACTCCTCCGCGGGGCAGACACAGCTGCATTTCGCTGATCAGCCTTCCAGCCGTCCCGTTCGCTTGTGAAGCCGGGGATCTCGCGTCTCTGTGGCGCCCGGCCGCACGACTAGCCCACCAGGCACGGTGGTCAGGAAAACTGCATGCTCCAAACACGTACCACGAAAGTGACGCGGAGCCTGTCCTGGCCCGCTCCGTCGTCTGGCCGCAGCGCCGCGGGCCGCGGCCGCGCGCGCCGGGCGACAGCACGCTGTGAGCACCTTGGACACACATTTGGCTATATACAGTCGTCACTAGGTTCTGGGGTGTCTTTGGAACCCTCCAAGTGGCTGCGCTGCTAAAAGCACATTCGGAGGTACTAGCAGGACCTTTGTAGCCGCGAGCCTGACGCACAGTACTAGATGGGCACAGCATGAGTTCATTGCACCTGATCTGATGCAGGGACATTTGCTGGCAGTGGTACATCGTACACGGGTGTGTCACCAGTGCTCGTACCAGTGAAAACCTTTGTGTATTAGAAGCATTTGCCACAGGTGCTGAACATGCTTCACAAGATTCTGAGACCACTCCGGGATATATCCACAAAGTATCTTGTGTGAGCCACTAACCAGGCCGCATCTCGCAATGAAGACACTAGCGCCACCTAGCAAACCGACAATGCTGCCATCATAGGGCGGGCGAGAATTCGCCGCGGTGGCTGCAGGCTGCGTACTCGGCGCGGGGGACGCGGCGGCCGGAGCCGCTACTGCCGGCCAGCGCCGGCCGCCGCCCGGGCTGCAGGAACTGCAGCGGCACCGTCACCTTGCCGGCCGCCAGCTGTCTCTGCACGACGCGCGCCGCCTCCGCCACCCGCTCCAGAAAGTTGGGCAAACCTGGCGCACAGAGACGACCGACGCTGGCGACGAAACTCAACGGGTACCACGCCTGGGCGCAGATGATAACCCCGGTTGATTTCTTTACTAATAAGGGGCTTAGCAACGACTAGCTTAAGCACTTAGCTTAAAACCAGACACAGTTGCATTACACATCTCACAAACGTTTACAAAGTTCAGTTCATCTCCCCGCACTGCACAGCGGGCCACCGCCGCCCGGCGTCGGACCCGTCCCCTGCCCCCCCCCCCCCCCCCTCCCCCCGTCACATGTCTGCACTGCGCCAGCTCGCGTCAGCAGGTCCTCACGCCAACACCGGGCGCTCGCCAAGGCCGGGGGTGGGCCCCATAACGCGCGGCCCGCCCCAGCCGGCGTGTACGGCACGGCGCCAGCGGCGGGGCCTCACCTGTGGCCGCCACATAGTTTGTGATCACCGGAGGCAGGTAGGTGCCCGGGTCGTCAAAATACGTCAGACCGAAGTCCAAGCCTGGCTGCAACATCACCGTGCAGAATTGTGAGCAGAACACAATGGGGGAGCATGATGGTGTAACTACACACGACTGTACTTTGTAATTGTGCAATGCGCTGCATGTACCCTGGATCGCGCACTCGTGAAAGGAAAAAAAATATCAAAAAATGGAGGCGCCAGCAGCACCTGCCCTGACCAAGCTGTGTGTGCGGTCGACTGACTGTGACCGGGGGCTGACCCAGTCAAACTCAGTGTGCAGTCGGATGACCGTGACCTGGGCTGACCCGGTCAAAATCGGTGTGCGGTCGGATAACCGTGACCTGAGCTGACCCGGTCAAAATCGGTGTGCGGTCGGATGACCGTGACCTGAGCTGACCCGGTCAAAATCGGTGTGCGGTCGGATAACCGTGACCTGAGCTGACCCGGTCAAAATCGGTGTGCGGTCGGATAACCGTGACCTGAGCTGACCCGGTCAAAATCGGTGTGCGGTCGGATGACCGTGACCGGGGGCTGACCTGATCGAACTCGGTGTGCGGTCGGATGACCATGACGGACCAGTAGTGTCGGACGCGCACCACGCCCGGCCGCTCGGGACACTCCGGGTGCCCGGTGCAACGGGACACGATCGTCATCTGGCGCGCCGCCTCGTCCACGTAGTAGCGCCGGTCAAACACGTAGTCCCGGTTCTGGAACATGCTCTGCGGCCAAGGGGGGGGGGGGGGGGCGAGAGATGTAGCGCGCGCGACCGAGCGGCCGCGCCTTGGCTCATCCCCTGCCAGTGGCGACTCCGATGGGTGGCATCAGCTGGGAGACACGCGAACGTGTGCTCATGCCCAGGACATGGAAACCATCAAATCTTCGTCGACGACAGACACCTCACGCCTCCTGAGCGTAACACAAACACAACGTATGGTGAGGTTTTCCCAACCCTCCTGGTACCATAGAAACAGCATTGTTTCATGTTCCATTAACATGAGCTACACGGCATGCGACCTCACGCAGCCAAGACCTTGCAGACTTAAAAACTGCACCATCTAGACCCAACCGAAGGGCGCGACAGGCTGGGCACCGAGCAGGCCTGGTACGGACCGCACGTGCGATGCAGCTAGGCCAATGCCGTCCATAGTTGTTCACGTGCGGGCGCGGGCGCCGACATCCACAAACGAACATACACCTCAGACCGCCAGACATACACTCAGACGGTAGCGGCCGCCCCGCCGTGACGTCACACCAACCGGGAGCCGGGCATGACGTCACCACTGACCGGGAACCGGACGCGCCAGTAGATGACGTCGCCGTGCTCGGCCGGCCGCGTGTCCAGCGTGTGCAGCTCGAGCACGCTCGGGTCCCACTGACTGCGGTAGGCCGTGTTCAACTGCACCTCGAAGAACGCCTCTGCCGACACGTCCCCGTAGGAGCCGAACACTGGCGGCGGGGCAGTGACGTCAGCCGCCTCCGCGTCAGGCGGTCGAGCAACGCGTGAAGAGCACCGTCAGTAGGGTATGACGTCACTAGCGACGGACAACGCCAGCAGAAGGGTAAAACGGGTGGCGAACGGCCCTGCCGGTGTTTGAAAGGTGACAGACGTGCCGCGGGTACACCAAGCTTTAACGTGTGTCATGTGTCATGCTACTGGGGCTTTACGACGCATTCAGCTGCTGAGGCTCGCCTGCTGTTCAGTTGCTGAGACATGGCGTCGCGTTCGTTCTGAGACAACGACGCGTTATGGACAAGACAACGCGTTCAGTTGCTGAGACAACGCATTCAGTTGCTGAGACATGGCGTCGCCTGTCTCTCACCCTGGCAGCCAGTGCGAGCACCGCGAGGAATCGAACCCCGTATCTCTGGTTTCCCAGACGCGCAGTGGTTAACGTAGACGCGTTAACCACTACACTACCGGCATCCCACCGAGCTTCAACAAACACATGTCGAGTCACCAGTGGCACCAGAAGGAATGCGGGTAAAAATCCATTCAGTCCACAACACAGCACGGCACGACACGCTCGGCGAAGGTACACTGATTGCCAAGCCGTGTGTGGTCGGTTGCCGGTCCGATCCGGCGGCGGCAAGCGGACGAGGGTCGCCCCAGCTGGCCGCCCGGTCACCTTTGTAGGAGTAGAGGTGGGCGTGTTCGGGGTGCTGCTGGCGCCACACCACCACGTGGTTCCGCTCGATGAACGGCACCCATGAGGCGTCCGGACCGCGGTTGACGGCCGGTGTCGGCTCGCCGTCGGCGCATGCGCAGTACGCCACCTTGTTCACCTGGTGATGCACAGGACGCGGCGTTATGGACAGCTGTGGCGACCTCTGTTGTTCAAGACGTTTCTCATCAGCGTGGCATAGTCAACAGCTGACATCACATAGGAAATTGCCAACGCCCCAAACACAAATGCAATCGGGCCGAAAAACAGTTGGAGAAAGCACAAATGAGAACTGCCCAAGCTTTTCGTCACATCTTACCTTTCTGTCGATGAGCTGCCGTTTTCCGCAGTCTGGGCACACGATGCTCTCGTCGCACAGCTTTACGAAACGGTCAAACTCCTCCTCATAACCATGACTGCAAAGGACAACAATCCGTCATAACTTGCGACAAACAGGACATGCCATGCGAAGAACAAACATCAACGCAGTATGCCGGAGAATGAATCACAAACGCCAAACAGAACTGATTACAAAAAAAACAACAAAAAACAGCAGTGGTCATCCGACAGTGATATAATATGAAGACGGAAACCATTCGATCCCCACAGTGTCACCGTGTGTCAGCCAGGTTGGGCGATGTTCGTCACCATCCGGCTATGACGCCGCCCCGAAAATACATCATCGAACAACAAATACATCCATGAGCGCAAATAACACCATTCGAAAACACTCGCGGCCGTATCCCCGAAACCACTTCCGATATACATAGCATGCCGCCCACGCGTGGCCCCAGGCTTCAGTGCAGCCGCCGGCCATGGCCGCTCGCCCGTGCCTTGGCTGGCGGACGGTGCGGCCGCCGGCGCGTGCCGTACCGGGCGGGCGGCCGGTCGGCCGGGACCGGGCCGTCACCCTGGTCAGCTGGCCGCTCCTGCTGCGGCGCGGCCGGATCAGGCCCGCCCAGCAGGGCAGCGCTCAGCAGCAGACGGCGGCCGTGGGCGGCCAGCAGGCGGCGCACGGAGCGCAGCATCTCGCGCAGTGCCTCCCGCTCGTACAGGCTCGAGTACAACTCAAACAGCTGTAACACGCGCAACGGGCGGGTCATAACCTGCCGTTCAGGCAGGCCCAGCCCAGTCCAAGCAGCTCAAACACACGGGGCACAGCTGCACAGTCACTGGTCCGGTTCAGACAGCTGCGGCAGGGCGGGGACAGACCGTTTAGCACCGTTCGCTCGGATCATCTCGAGTGCGGCTGCAATAGTTCCAGAATACAGGGTACGATCATAATACTGTCCGTTCGACAAGGAGCCGCCACGACCGCACAGAACATTCCAGTTCAGGGCCGTGTGGGGCGGTTGCAGCCAGTCCGCAGCCGTCGGCGAGTACAGGCTCGAGCGCAGCGAAACAGGGCAGCGCAGGGAAATCGAACAGTCAGACGCGTCATCCCGGCGTGAAAACCACCTTAACAGAGCAGCAGCGACGGCGACATCAGCAGTGCATCGCAAGGCACACGACTGAGCGCCAGTTGGTTCGGGCCACGCCCTGGCACGCAGCCAATCCTGCTCCGACTAGCTGACCCCGGCGCTAACCTGCATGGTGCGGCGCGTGCGATAGATGAGCACAAACTCGCACTGGACCACGCACAGACGTAGCATGATGCGTGAATGTTGGCGCAGCACGGCCAGCAGGCGGCGCTGGAGCGTCATCAGCGGCTGTGCTGTCCAGCCGGAGAGCGTGCGCTGCTGGCCGGCCGGCTGGAGCAGCAGCGGGGGCGGCAAGCGGGCGGCGCGCGCCGCCGGACCAGCCGCTGCCGCCGCCGATCGGCTCGTCTTCAACAGCGCAAGCATGGCCGGCCTGCAACCACGGCCAGCAGTGATGCTCAGCTGTGGATGCTGTGATGCGTGGCTGGCGCGTGACGCCAGGTGGCATTGGTTAGGGGCATTTTCAGCTGGCTAACCGCCACAATGGCAAACTCACACTGGATAAAACTGATGGTGTTCACTGGTGGCTTCCACGTCACAATATGGCACAATCATGGGGATACCCAGCATTTTTTTCTTTGAGTACTACTAACATGTCACCAAAGCAGCATCCATGGTGGGCATTCGGAAAAGTATGACATAAACCTGAAAGCACACATACACACATGATGTAGGCATTGTCAAACTTGTAAACGTCACGGCGGGAAAATGCTATCACCATGAACGAGGTAATTGGAGATTACACCATGGATCTGCACAGTCTGATTCATTTATTTTGGAGTATTTCTAGATGGAGTTTGTTCTTCTAGTATTATCTCAAACACAATAAAAGTGACAAATGTCCAAATAATTGAGGCAAAAACAAACAAAACAAAGACCAATGCCAAAACTGAATTTCCATCACTGGTCCTATACAATCATCACAGTCATATGATCCTGCATGCAACAAAAGTCCACAAATTATTCAAATTTGTATGAATAAGGCAAGTGGCAAGCAAATCAGGCTGTTCATAAGTTGTCAAGACTGATGACTGATTTTCTCAGGACCACTGACTGATCTGTCCACAGCTGTACACAAACATGGAGAGACACTGAGATCTGTTCCACATTACTAATACCTGTTCTGATCTCAAATTAAATATTAACTGTCAAACAGCAGAACCTTACAGTATTTCTGCATCTGTCTTCCACCATTAATTGGGGGTAAAAGAACCTTATAACTGACATGGTCCTCTGTTATAATGGCTGCCTGTGGTAACAAGCTCAACTGACAATGACCTTGTGTGAACAGCATCTCTGCAGTCATAAATGATGAAAAATATTGCTGAGCTCTTTTTTTATCCAAATTGATTTAATGGGCAAACCTTTTTTACCCTAACCAACTGGTCAGCCCTTTGTTGGAGACATCTTGTGATCCAGTAACACCTCATGCATCCAATAACTTACATCATCTATCATCATCAATAGCATCAACAAATAGAAAATGGTGATATTTTAACACAAAGATGCTTACATAGACTGCAATGCAATTCACCACTTTCATGAACTGCATTGCAATCTGCAATTTGACAGCTTTTCAAACCAGACCAAGTTTGAGGCAGCACAGTCTGTGGATAATGCATGCATCAAACATACCTGCATGACAAAATACCCAGTATGACCTATTCAGCCCCAACAAAAAGGCCTTTGTAAAAATACATTCAACTTATGGCTTAACACTGTGACAGATGGTTCAAAACTGCTGTATGTGTTGCATGTCAATTGATAACATGAACCTTAGCTCATGTCATCCAAGCTGATGTCAAGCTTGCAACTGAACAGAAGGCTTTTTTTCTTAAGGTGAGCAACTGGTGACTGCTGACATCTGAGGCAAGATCAGCAGATATTGAGAATGTGGGCAAGCAAAGCATCCATCTTAAACCTAGATAGCCTTTGGCATTGAAGAGTTGTATTTTGATAGGATGACAGTAGCTCGTTTAAGCTATTTTGATACCCCTATTGCCAGTCTACTTTATAACACCAAAACAGTCAATACAAATATTCAAAGCTTATAAAGCATCCAAAGCTATCTGAGAGCAATTGTAATATGCAGTTTTCAGAGAAGCCTCCCTAAGTTTAAGATGGCTATAGTGTGTATTCAGATCAGATGAGAAAGGCTAAAAATGCTGTAAGTTGACCTCATCACAAAAATGAACTAACTTTGAATGCATGCTACATCCTTGTGACTTAAGAGAAACCCTTTAAGAGGTGAGATGCATATGCCAAGAAACATAAAAATTAAATATCTATGCAGTGAGCCTGTGAGACTAACAATACAAAAATAGATCCCAAAGTATCAATATGATCTATATAACTTCCAAGTGGATGATTTTTTATCCTTTCAGAACATATGTTAAAGCTGTGACTACTTCCTACACCCAGTTGATCTGACCCACAAGTATCATTAATGTACCTGCTGTTCCTGCAAGGGTCCCACCTATAGTCTCCTTTTCCATCAAGTAAGATATTAGGAAAGAACAGTCAAGCTGAACACCAACTCTGTGCCTGGCAAGGTGAGCAGATGGAAATGATACAGCAGAGCATTTCTAAAAATAAAACAGTAAGCATGTCCCTAATGACCATATCATTACCGCTCAGCACCTTACTGCATTCAAACCATAATGGCTTGAATGGTGCTTTGAGGAAGTGGTTTCAAATGTCATTTCATAACAATTCTTATCTTAGGCTACAAAGTGTCTTACTAAATATGTCCCTTGTAGCAGCCAAGTTCTAGAGACTGTTCTGCCATGTGAGCACTGTAACTCAAAGTGCAGAAAGTTTGGTGCATGATGGCATACATTTTCCTGCATAGACAGAAAATGTTTTAAGACCTTATCATTTCCTTATGACAATGATGGCACATAAGCATTTCTTGCAGTTGATGCATTTCAGCAGACATGTCAGTCTGCCAGCCTGCCTTTTTTGATACTATTCTTGCATTATCACAATTTCATGAAATATCAACTTAAGATAAAACAGAACTATTAGCCTTGTTCCTCAGAGAAAAGCCAGGAGAATGGAGACATAGTCAGGTAGATATTTTGGCAACATGCCTTTATCAAAACAATGACAGAAGTGAATTTGCTTCTGTTATTGTTTAGTGGAAGTGAGCTCACTTCAGCTTTTGTTATGACAAAGAAATGGAGCTGAAATATCAGCCCAACTATATCTCCATCTAGTTGGTTTTCTCCAATCAATAATGCTATTACTACCATCTTGTCTGTGACAAATGTTCCTCACTAACACACTGAACAACTTACAAAACATTACCTTTCTTTGCACTGAAACTAGAGTACAACATAAACAGATCTCTCAGCTCTTTAATTTACCACGTAAGTCCCTGAAATCGTCGTTACATTCGCTGCTATGGCGGATGTGACGTGCCCAGCGTAAAACTTCAGCCTGACGTATATCTTTTTTCTTTTGAGTCATGCAGCCTGGTCTAGGCATGGTTGTCTATCAGCTGGACAACACAAATAAAACATGTTTGAAAATTCATTAGTTCGTGCTCTTTCAATACGCTTGAATCTTTCGGCACAATAGGTCCAGCAAATAGGAATATCGCCCACCCGCAACACGCCGCTAACCTGGTCCAGTGCCTGAAGCGCCTGAAACAATCCCTTTGATAGGCGTCAGCTGCTTTCCCAGGGGCATGCCTGCAATCGTCTTTTCTACGCCAAATAGGGTATTTCATATGTGCAGCCAAATTGAGTGATAACTCTTTACGTAGTTATGAGGACACGAGAATTCATAATGTATAATGTACTTCAAGAGAGAATGAAATAATATTATTGTTTAATCATTGATACTTAAAGAGTAATTAGTCTACAAACTCGCATAAGTTATAATTAAAATGCCATCTAAGCCTAAGGATTTTGGTGAGGTGCAGCTGACGAAAAATAACTTTGCTCCGATGGTGTGGGGCGATCACAGCGCAGAAATTCTCCGCCAACAACGTGTGCGTTGGATAGGGCGATTGAATTGGTGGGTTTTGCCGGTTGCGATATTTATGGTATTTACGTAAGGAGTTAGGGTTAGTTATCATTCAAGGGTGAGCAAAGAATTTGAGGAGTCAAGCACTTCCAGGTGGGGAGTGCTGTGGTTTATATACATGCTTTCATGTACATCGTGTAAATTTGGTAGTACATATGCTATGTTAACGCTGCCGTAGCACAGTTTTAGCGCGCTACCTATCGTGATTACACTGGCACGAATTGTGGTGGCATGTCGAATATGTTGGCCGATGATGGTGACACGTATTGTTGTTGACATTGAGCTCATGCTTAACCATATTCCAGACGTGTGATCGAGCCAGCCCGGGCATTATATAGGTGATTTATTAATTAATTATGTTGATGTATGTACTATGTATTATTTAAATGTATTAATGTATTAAGTGTATTAATTTAAAAACATAGCCAATTAAATTTTACAGAAGTTGAACTTTTTTGGCATGTTTTTTGGTGCTTGGGGGGGGGGGGGGGGGGTATTTATAAAGCAACAGTGTAGCCATGCCCACACTTTTGATACCTTATAGTTATTGCAAATTATTCTCAATTATTAATTGTTAGGCTTGGTCATCATCCCTTTGACATATTGAAGCCTACACCAAATACTAAGAAATCAATGATTGTCATTCAATTTTTGTTTCAGGGCACAGATGGAAGAGGTAAAAGCTATGCTGAAAGAAATTCCTGGGAGGATTGGTTCTGCCAGCCTCACAGAGAGGCGACATGTCTTTGACCAGCTGGACAAAGCCATTAAAACAGGTATTTTAACTTCTGTCAACTAAAATAAATGCATGTGGACAGTTATTTTTAATGTAAACCATGACCTCACATGGCGATATGTGTCCAGTTTAGGATGACTATTCCATCCATATTCTTCCAAGATATGACATTAGCTGCTCTGATATTGTGTGATTTGCAAGTATCATGAAGTTCAGCTGCATATTCCCTTGCAATGTTTTGCTTCTGACCCATTATGCTGTTGGCAATTTCCTGTGACCTCTCTCTGGCACTGGGCATCAGCTGGCACTCATGTAGTCAGGCCAGGGTGTTTCCTATAATATACCTGTATGTGATGTGCGATCTGCCACACCACAGGCCATGCTGTGTCTGCCATGACATGCCCGATTGTTGTGACACACCCCACCCTGACAGCTGAGCTGCCAGAGCCGGCCGTGCGGGGCATCTGTCGGCTGCTGGCCTCCACACTGTACCGCTACAATGACAACAAGTCGCGCGCCCTGGTGGCGGCCGCCGTTCGCCAACTGGCCGCGCACCACGCGGAGGCGGCTGGCCGCCACCTGCCGGCGGCGCTGGCCGACACGGCCCGCGCCTGCAGCGCCGCGCACGCCTCGTAAGTCTGGCGCCGGGCCGCGGCCGGCAGGCGTTGGGTCGACCCACAGACGAAAGACGGTCGTCGGCTTGTTTAATGAGAGAGCGATGGCTCAGTAACGGTTGTTGCTCTCATTGGTCGATAATATTGGTGCAGACTAAATTAGTGCGAGCATCAGGCAGTTGTCTGGCGATTAAAAGATACCTGGGTTAGTGCACAGTCTATGGGCAGTTCACCCGGCTGTGGGGTGTGGCCAGGGGGAGACCCTCTGTGCTCCCTCAGCCATACCCCCTGTTAGACAGTAACACTTATGGTCATGTCAGCCACACACACACAGAATCAACAGGGGCCACTAGTCTGCTATGGATCCGTCCCATTCACTGCGATGGCATTGCGTGGCTTGTTGCGCCGGCTGAAGACATGCCCACGCCGAATGAGCCCACGCCCTGCCCATCTGACGTCCGTCCTGTTGGCGTGTCGCCAGCAAGTCGAGCGCCGGCACGCACTTGGTGGCCTTCTCCTGGACTTGCACGCTGCTGGAGCTGAGCTTCGCCGCGCCGCTGGCCGGCCAGCAGGAGTTCGCCGCGCTGGCCGGCGTACAGGCGCGCCTGCTCACCAGCGTGGTGGCCTCTGAGCAGAACAAGCTGGCGGACAAGGCACACAAGGCGTTCAGCCAGGTGATGGGTCAGCTCTCGGCCGCCCCAGAGCCGCCCGGGGCTGCTGCCGCCGACCTTCCGCTGATGCCGGGCGCGGTCTGCGGCCTGCTGTGGAAAGCTGAGACCGTTTTGAAGTCCGTTGACAAGCTTAATTGTGTGCGGCTCTCTTTGGATTTATTTGTGGTATGTTGTTATACAGAATACCGCAGAAGTCTCGTCTTTTATACAGCTTAGTTTCAAGTGACGCGTCCGCCAGTAGCCGTGTAGCTGTTTTTTACGTGTGCATGTGGTTAATTTCAGGCGTTGCGGACGGACGAGCAGGTTGAAGCTTACCTTGGGTACCTCAGCGCGACCGAGCTGACCCTGGCGGACCTGGTGCTCGGCTCTCATGTCGTCCGCTGCCTGGCCGGCCGGAAGCAGACGGACCAGATCGCACGGCTGAAGGTACGCACGCCCCTCGGCAGCGTGACGAGCTGCGGCGGCGCGCGTCGAGTTAGTGTTAACGGGCCCCCGTGGCGCTAGCTGTCAGTAATCATTTCGCCTGCCGAGCTCGTGTCGCGGCAGCGGATCCCGTCTGCGTTGGATTTTGCTCGAAGTGGACGTTCTCCACATACTGCAAGTCTGCATGTGTCTGAGTATTGCCCTTGTGAACCTGTGCTGCTGCGGCACTTGCTTGTGGTTGAAACCTCAGTATAGAAGCAGCCCTCCCTCTCGTTAGTCGGACGCCGCGTGCCGCCCATCTCTGCCGCTGCCTGCCGCCGACCGTGGCGTCGTCTCCCGTCCCTACAGAAGCCGTTGCTGGCGGGCGTGGTGCGGGTGGTGGTGGGCGGCAAGAGCCGGTCGCCGGCGGCGCCGCTGCTTTACTGCGGCCACGTGCTGCGCCACCTGACGCACGCTGAGTTCGGCGGCGAGCTGCTGCCGGCGCTGGGGCGCGCCCTGCTGCGCAGTCCCGAGTTGGCCGTCAGCAGCGCCGCTGCCCTGCTCGACCGGCTCCAGCTCGACCTCAGCCAGTACGCCGGCGAGCTGGCCAAACCGCTCGGAAGTAAGTGACACGCGCCCAGCTGTTCGCCATGGTTATTAGCCTGGAAATGCGTGGGGGCCGCCTCCTTGAAGGTCGTCGATCATGGCGGCATTGGCGCTGTTCTTCGGCGTGCGTTACGGGTCGTCGGGCGTAACCCCATCTTTCATTGTATTGTCACGCTCTTTTGAATCCGTCGCCGCGGTAGTGAAAGACCGGAGTACGGTGTTGATTGAGCGAGCCACATTTAGCGGCCCGACATCAGTTGCCGAGTTGGCTAGAGCGGCGGCCAACATGCGGAGCTACATCCAGTGGCCCGACATCAGTTACCGAGTTGGTAAGAGCGGCGGCTGACATGCCATCGCCCGTTAAGAGTCGCTGATGTACGTCGCGGCCCAACTGACCAAGCTGACCCGACGCTCTTGGACCGCCTAACCGCCTCCACCCCCGCACAGCGCACATCCACAGCAAGGACGAGCAAACGCGCGAGGACACGAGCCGCGCGCTGCTGGCGCTGGTGCGCCACTGCAGCGACGCGGCGGCCGTGCAGCTGCTGCTGGACCGGCTTCTGGGCGTGCTGCACGGCTCTGAGGGCAAGCTAACCGTGCTCGATCAAAAGCTGGCCGTCCTCAAGGTGTGACCGGGAGTGATGCTGGTCGCTGGCTGGGTTGAAGAGCGTTGTTGTTTTCTCGTCGCTCACTACTCACAGTAGATGGCTTTGTGGGCGACTTTCCGGGATATGAGAGGCATTTTGTTACTGTCCTCGCCGCTGGCGACATCCCGGCTCCAGCACGAGAGGTCGTTCAGTTGGCGCTGCCCCATCTCGGTATGCACAGTCAGAAGAGCTTACTCAGTGGCGTGTACTGAGTGAAAGCTGCTGTCGGACAGAGCTCAATCACTGACGTGTACTGAGTGACAGCTACTGTCGGGAAGAGCTCACTCAATGACGTCAGCTGAGTGACAGCTAAGACCACCCACGACGCGGTGTGAGCGTGGGCTCCTATTACGGCACGCAGCCGTAACGGCAGCGTAGTTCTAGATTCGGTTGAAGTGTGAAGCGTCCGTCGATGGCGACCAGGTCGGCTGCTGACTGTGGGCTGGCCGTTTGCGAGGCGCCGGTGCGCTGCCGACGCATCAGGCCTGGTCGTGACGATCGGCGCCGGTCGGCAGGCCGTCGGAAACCTGTCACAGAGCGCTGTGACGGGCAGCAGCACCCAGACTCTGGTGTCCTCGGCTGCCGGCGGCTTCGTCCGGGTGTTTGAGTCGGAAGCTCACGAGGGCACGCTGGTGGTGGCGCTGCGTCAGCTGCGCCGGTGGTGTGCCTGCATCGCCGGCCAGCCGCCGCCGCAGCTCGTGGATTGGTTCAAGGTACGGCGCGTCTCAGGGCGGCTGACGGCCGTCTGCCGCCGCCCGCCGCCGTCCGCCGCTCCGGGCATGGCTCAAAGTGGGCTCAGTAAATGGCCATACAGGCTTCATATATGTATGCATGGTTTGATTAGGAATACCAATTGGTGCGTGGAGCGCATTTGAGCTGAAGCTTGCGCTGAAACCCGCTGTTCCCCTGTGTTTACCACTGAAACTTTTAAGTCGTGAAAACATATTCCATCGTGTTTGGGATTGGTCACAACTTAACCACTGGCGCTCGCGCCGCCACCGCAGAAGTGCCTGGGCCTCAAGTCGACGACGTCGGCCGCCCGTCTGGGCCACCTGCTGTGTATGGAGGTGACGCTGAAGGGCGCGGCGGCGCCGCTTCTGGCCGACATCACCGAGCCGCTCACCAAGACTGTGGAGCGGGCCGTCGCCAACAGCTCCCAGGTGAGCGGCGGTGCCGGGAGCGCTGCGGACACGGCCCGGCCGCGGCCGCGGACAGCGCGAAGCAGGTCTCCGCTCCGGATGTGGCGCGCGGAGGCGAGCCGGGGCGGGTCGGCGGCCTGTCGGGCGGCGGCGGGCTTACTGCCGCTGCGTGCTGGATGGGATCAGGGCGAGCCGGGCCGGGTCGGCGGCTTGTCGGGCGGCGGCGAGCTTACTGCCGCTGCGTGCTGGCTGGGATCGGGGCGGGCCGGGCCGGGTCGGCGGCCTGTCGGGCGGCGGCGAGCTTACTGCCGCTGCGTGCTGGATGGGATCAGGGCGGGCCGGGCCGGGTCGGCGGCCTGTCGGGCGGCGGCGAGCTTACTGCCGCTGCGTGCTGGCTGGGATCAGGGCCAGCAGGGCGGGTGCTCACGCCGATGTGCCGCGTCAGGCGGCGATCGGAGCTGGTGGCCGGTCGTGTCGCGTCCTGGGCCCGCTCTGGGACCGCAGTGACTGTGGTGTGCCTCGACCGGGATGGTGCGTCTGACCGCGCCTGACCCTCCCCAGGTGCCGGTGGTGGCTGAGGGAGTTGTGGCCGCTCTCCTGCTGCTGCGGCTTACGGATGTCGACCCCGCCGTGAAGCTGGACAACGTCTTCAGCATGCTGCTGGACGAGAAGCGGACCTTCTTCAATGAGAAGTTTGTGCAGGCCGCCCCTGACGATGGTATGGCTTGTCCAAGATTATCAAGCTTACTTCTACGTGACAGTAATTAATGTGATGCCCTCATTGGAGACCAGCAATTAATTGAATAACCAATTTGCGATGATTGTACCATGGTCCACAAGTCCGTATGGAATTCATCGTGTTGGCTGCATACAGTTACGTTCAGTTCAGTTAAGTGGTAGTTGCAATGCACCGGCGTGGTCCGCCCTCAGTCACCACCCGCTGGTGACGGCACCAGTGACCCGCCCCCTCCTCCTCCACCAGCGGTGACCTGCCTCTGTCAGCTGTGCGAGCGGCTGTTGCACACGCACGCCGAGCGAGTGTCGCGCGTAGCCGGCGCCGACCGAGCCGTGGCGCGCGCGCTGGTGCTGGTGCTGTGCCGGCCGGGCGCGGCGCTGGTGCGTGCCGCCGCCGCCGCCGCCACCCGCCGCCTGACGGCCGCGCTCGGCGGCGCCCAGCTGGCTGCTCTTATGCTGGACGAATGTCGCGACTACCTGGACAGCGTCAGGGTACAGGTGAGCGGCGCCGCCGACGGTGGGTGCGGACCCAGCATGGCCGGACGCCTGTGGCCCGCGCAGTGCTGACGGCTCAAGCATATTCTCGGGAGCTGGCCCAAATGCTGATGGAATCGAGTGCGCGTTGTGGTGCTGGTGACGCTGCCGCCTCATCAGCGTGTGTTGCGTTGGCGTGTGAGATATGAGCGTCCGCCAGTGGCCGACGTCCAGCGCGGGCCGCTGACGGACGTTGCCGGTGCCTTTGTGAGCACGAGCCACGCGTGTTGGCAGCCGTCGAGCGGGGAACTCGAGCCGGCCGAGCCGCCCTGCCTCACCTCCCACCTGGTGGCATTCTGCCTGGGCGCCGTGTGCGAGATCAAGGACCTCCAGCAGCACGAAGCCGACATGCTGGCACTCCGGCTGCTCCAGCCCGCTCATCACCCGGCCGTCGGTGAGTACCGTACGGCAGACGAGACCGCTGCTCAGGCGGGACCGCAGCGGCTCAGACGGGACCGCAGCGGCTCAGACGGGACTGTAGCCGCTCAGACGGGACCGTAGCCGCTCAGACGGGACCGTAGCCGCTCAGACGGGACTGCAGCGACTCAGACGGGACCGCAGCGGCTCAGACGGCACCGTAGCTGCTCAGACGGGACTGAAACGGCTCAGACGGGACCATAGCCGTTCAGACGGCACCGTAGCTGCTCATACGGGACCGCAGTGGCTCAGACGGGACCGTAGCCGCTCAGACGGGACCGTAGCTGCTCAGATGGGACCGTAGCGGCTCAGACGGGACCGCAGCTGCTCAGACGGGATTGCAGCGGCTCAGACGGAACCATAGCGGCTCAGACGGGACTGTAGCTGCTCAGACGGGACTGAAGCGGCTCAGACGGGACCGCAGCTGGTCAGACGGGACCGTAGCTGCTCAGACGGGACTGAAGCGGCTCAGACGGGACCGTAGCGGCTCAGACGGGACTGTAGCTGCTCGGACGGGACTGCAGCGGCTCAGACGGGACCGTAGCGGCTCAGACGGGACCGTAGCTGGTCAGACAGGACTGCAGTGGCTCAGACGGGACCGTAGCTGGTCAGACGGGACTGCAGCGGCTCAGACGGGACCGCAGCGGCTCAGACAGGCGGTGAACGGACTCAGCAAGCGACAGCGTGTGTCTTTCCAGTGCTTCTGTCGATCATCACGGGTCTTGCACATGGTTTTTACGCGGGTCCGTGGAGCTGCTCGTGGCTCACGGACACATGCTCAATCCGCGGGTTGTCAACGGGCTTTCACAAAGCTAAGTCCGTAAGCTCTCCGTATAGCTTCCGCGGCGTTGCCAGCGGACGTCCCGTCCCACAGGAATAGCATACTGATCTTGTGAGATGTACGGCGGGCTCCAGAGCGTGTCGCCAGAGGGCTGTTCAGCGCAGTGCCAGCCGTGTCACCTGTGTGCCGTTGTGTCGCGTACCCGTCCCGTCGCCCGGCTGCGCTCGGCGCCCGGAGTGCTGACGTGGGGCGCTGTGACCGGCAGTGGCCGACCGGCCGGACCTGTGGGTACGCATCGTGAAGTGGCTCGGCGTGGGGCCGGTCCAGTTTGTGGAGCGCCACCAGGCCGACCTGATCCGGCTCTTCACCGAGGAGTACCGGCCGACCAAGGTACGTGTGCGGGCCGACCGTCCGGTGCTGGTGTCGCCGCCCGGTGCCAGGCAGCCGTCGTCGAGGCCACATTGGCACGGATTGGCTCAAGATCTCGGTCAGGGGACTGTGCTGTGCCATGTGGCCTTGTCTGGCTGAATATTCGCCTAGAGCTCTACTGCCGACTATTTTGGTAGTGGCACTCGTGACCTTAGACCGTCCGCGATTCGTCGGCGTTGGCCTCTCGCGTGCCTGCGGTGACTATGTCCGGTGTTGCGTCGCTCACGCGGACTCGTCTCGTGCTCAGCCGCCTTGTGTCCCCGCGGCGCCCAGCGGCGCTCTGTGCGTGACCGTGGCTCGCCCACCAGGCGTGGCAGGCGGCCCTGTCCACGCTGGTCTCGCTGGCCGGCGACGCGCTCGTGCCGCCTGTCGTCCAGTTCGCCATGTCGTGTCTGCGCGAGGAGGCGCTGATGACCGTATCGCTGGAGGAGTACAACATCTACCGCACGCCCGAGGGCACCCTGTACGACACCAGCGTCAAGGACAGGTGCGTCCGTCAGCGACGAGAGCGACGCGAGCGGCGCCTCTTCCACTGACTATGACACGATGGGGTCGCCGGTGGGCTTCTCAGGCGTTGGCACCCGATGATGTTGACACTGCATCTCTTCATAATGGTCCCTTTGACCCCGCATATTACGACACATCCGAGCGCGCCCCCATGGGGCGAATGGACCCCAACGTGCGTACGTGAAGTTGCCCTGATGTCAGACCCCGAACCCTCATCCCCTGTATCCGGGCGTCCGTCGTACGACGCAACTGGTGCACCTCAATCGGACGCTGGCGCGCGCCTCAGTCTGACGCCAGCGCGCGCCTCAGGCTGACACCGGCGGTGCGCCTCAGTCTGACACTGGCGTCTCCGCTCCAGCGCCAAGGAGGTGCAGTCAGCCAACATCAAGCGTGACAGCAAGCTGTACTCGTACAAGGAGCAGATGGAGGAGCGTGCTCTGCGGCTGGAGCTGGAGGCCAAGCGGCGCCGCGAGGGACGCGCCGTGCCCGAGCAGCTGACCGCCAAACAGAAGGAGGCCGTGGCCCAGCAGCTGGAGAGAGAGAGCAAGATCAGGAGTCGGTTGGTCGAGGTGCGCCAATCAAGACCCGCTGTTCAAAGCCCATTCGGTGCCGGCCATTGGTAAATGGGCATAACATGATGGAAGTTGCACTGCGACACTGCCGATAATTTTGTGGCCAATGAGTGACACTGTTGTGCGTTTGCAGTGTTGGAACATAGTACTGCTGCGTGCAGGGGCGTAGTTTCGCAAAATGAGTTTGGGGGGGGGGGGGGTGCTGAATGGTAAAAGATGATCCAACCTGGCCCTATGCCAACAGTTGGGTTTGTCCCCGGATTTTGCTCATTTCCAGTACAAAATGTGTGTGTGTGCGGGGGGGGGGGGCTGAAGTCCAAATTGGGGAGGGGTTGAAGCCCCTGCCCAACTGATAAGGAAATGACACCCCTGGCTGCGTGTCAGGTCCCAATGCTTGGCCTTTTCCATGTGTGCTGCTGTTTAGACGTGTGGTCAGGTTTGCTGGACATTCGCTGCTCATGTGTAAGTGCTGCGCGCCGCCGGTCCCCTGCCTGGGCGCCTCCGTGCTGTGCTCCGTCACCCGGTCGGTGTTGCCTGACTGACGGACGGCGCCGGTCGGTAGGTGGACGCTCGCTTCAGTGCAGCCGCGTCGCTGGTGGACGCCGCCGCTGCCGGTGCCCCGACGTCGCTGCAGCAGCAGTACACCGAGCTGCTGCCGACGCTGGTCTCGTCCCTGCAGTCGCCGCTGGCGGCGCCCGTCACCAGCCAGCTGTGGCTGCGGCTGGCCCGGCTGCCCTTCGACGCGCCTCAGAAGCCTCTGGGTGCGTGCCGGCCGCGGCCTCGCGCTGAAACCGGGCTTTGGGGAATGACTGGGTTGGCTTGGTGTACCGAGTGCTTGATGCGTGCGTGGAAAGCTGGCGTGGTCCGGAGGAGGGAGGGGGGGGGGGGGGGGGAGGGGGGCATGCTGGTGTGCGGTGGGTTTTGGATCCGTGCGTGCTGGCTGCTTGTGGAGGTCGGGTCCTGGACCTGACGTGGGACAACGCGAGCGGTAATCCACATGTCTGAGGGGGCTCCGGGGCAGATATATTACTCCTTGTCGCGCCCTGTCTCTCTGCCTCCGTTGATGGGGGAAAGCCGTGGCAGCGGCGTCGAAGTCCGAACAGAGGCACCTCTCAGGGGACTCTGAACTGACCAGGGAGCGGGGGACAGCACACGCTCGGGTGTGTTCGCACTGGCTGCTGCGCCGCCGCGTCGGCAGACACCGAATGGGGATCCGCCTCAGAAGTGTCCTCAGACGCTGGGGAGCGCCGCCGTCCGGCTGTGACGCGGCGCTGGTGTGCGCTGTACTGACCCGAGCGGCGCCCCTCGGCCAGCGGAGACCGTGGCGCACGTCACCCTCCGTCTGGCCGAGCCGCAGTGCGCCGTGGATGCCGGCTGGGAGGCAGAGCAGCCGGCCGAGGCCGCCTACTGGCGCGTGCTGCGCCTTCTGCACGATCGCTGCGCCGCCGCCGGCCGGCTGCGGGCGCCCGCCTTCGTCGTCTGTTTCCACCTGCTGCGGCACGTGCTGGAGACGGCCACCGACGACGAGGAGCTCATGCTGAAGGGCCTCAGGGTGGGTGCCGTATGGAGAGGGACGCCACGCGCGGGGCTGGCCGCAGCGCCGCCCGTTGCCCAGGTCGGCCAGCGGCTCCCTCTGGACAGACCGACGGTGGCGTTGCAGAGGTTTTAGCGACGGTCCGTGCGTGTTCACAGGTGGCGTGTAGGCCTTTTCTGGCGCGTGCCCACTGGGCTGCAGTTGGTCCTCTCAACCGCGTTTCTCAGAGCATTGTGAGCCTGCCATGTGCAGTCGTCTTCCACGTATCAGGCGCAGTGATGAACAGCGTCTTGTGGCATGCGTGTTTACTGTGACACTGCTGGCTCGGTGCGCTCAGAGCGTCAGCGCCTGCTGTCATCTGACCTCTTGCCGCGCCCGTCCAGCTGATCCAGATGCACGCCGAGCTGCGAGGCGACGGCGATCTCAGCGACCCGAGCCTGCTGCCGCGCCGGGCGCTCATCACGCTCGTGCTGCGCGTCATCGGTACGGCACGACTGCGGCCCGCCCGGCCACGCCGCCGGCCGAGAGAGCCACTCCGCTGACGGCTGGTGCGGTGCTCACCGCCCAATGCTGGATGGCTGCCATGTATGGTAGCGGTGGTTTGCTCTTGGCTAATGCCCCAGATGCCGGACGGTAGTCTGGCCGCGGGGTGAGACGCGTCCTGAACAACTGCACTGGGCTTCTTGCCATCGATTCGTGACATGTACTGGCGCGTGTGTGACATGTTTTTGGCAGAGGAGGCTGTTGGCGCGCTTGTTTTGTGACTGCCGGTGAGGACCAGCGCCGCGGCGTCCTCCGTCCGTCCTGCGCCCGTCCGGGATGGCGGGCGCCCGGTATGACCTGTCGTCGGGTCGCCGCAGGCGCCACGGCCGGCCGGGTGCAGCAGAAAGCGTGCGCCGCGCTGCTGGAGCTGGCCGCCTGCGCCTCTGGCGAGGAGGGCTGCGCCGTGGCCGGTCGGCCCGAGCTGCAGGCGCTGCTCGACGCTCTGCGCAGCCCGGTCGTCTCGGTTCGCGACGCCGCGCTGCGGGTGAGCAGACGGGCGAGGGCTCGCCGTCAGTGGAGGCGCTCCGGGGGCGGGACCTCCTGAGGACCCCCGCTAGGGGAGGTGCCCCGGGGTGGGGACCGCCTGAGGACACCTGTCAGGGAGGTGCTCCGGGGTGGGGACCGCCCAAAAGCTCACTTTCAGGGAGGTGCTCGGGGGGGGGGGGACGCCTGGGGGCTCGCCACCGGGCAGGGGAGATGCTCCGGGGGAAGGGTGTCTGAGGGCTCGCCACCAAGGGAGACGCTGGCGGTGAGGGGCTTGGTCTGGTCTGTAACGCGTGTGCTATGTTCCGGTCCCATCCACCGCCTGCTTTACACCTGGGCGCGGGTGCTGGGCTGCTGGTATTGTTTCGCTCGCTTGCCCGTAGTCTGCCTGACCGCGGACCGCCGTGTTAGTGGTCATCGGAATCAATGACAGTGGGTGAATCAACGCACTAAGTGTGTCGCTGCACGGACTATCGGCTATCGGCTCTGAAGCCAGACTCGATAGCGGCGCCCTCCGTCGCCGGCAGAGTCTGAACGTGCTGGCGGACGTGTTGGAGTCGCTGGAGGGCTCGGAGCTGCCGCACGTACTCGCCGAGAGGATCTTCCTCACCAAGTTTGACGACTCGGACGAGATCAGGTGGGCGGCGGATCTGCGGCGCGCCGCCTGTCTGTTCTCTGACAGGCGGCGCGCCGGACCGCGCCCTCATTGACAGGCCGTTTGTCTCGCTGCCGTCTGTTTGTTGTCTGACTCTGCGCCGCAGAGCGCCCCCCCCCCCCCCCCGTCTGGTGGTGGTCCATGTGTTGGTGTGCTGGTGACCACGCCGCGCGGAGCTGTCCCTCGAGCTGTTGTGTCTGTGGTTCGTGCGTGTTCATCGCGAGCTCTTGCGTGTACCCGCTGCCGGCGGGGAATGTGGAGATGCGAGCTGGCGCCGGCGTGTCAGCGCGCCACTGGCTGCTGACCGTGCTGTGGCCGCGCCCAGGTCGGCCGGTGACCAGCTGTGGGAACGTCTGTCGCTGACCGAGGAGGCGTGGCTGCTGGCGCCGCTGCTGGAGGACGCGGTGTACCCGGAAGAGTGTGTGCAGCGCGCGGCGGCCAGCGGACTGGCCAGCCTGCTGCAGGATCACGGTGCTCAAACGGCCACCGTGCTGCAGCAGCTGCTGACGCTGTACGACGACAAGCTGGAGGTGAGCGGCGCCGCCGGTCCTTCCTAGGCCCGCGGCCCGCTCGCGCCCGCGCTTCTTACGTGCGCGATTACTTACGCGGCAACATGTTTTGCCGCAGTGTTGGATTCCGCGGAGTTGACTCAATCTGTTGGTTGTATTTAAGGGGAGTAAGGTGATTTGATACACAAATCGTGGAATTCGTCGAACCCAGCCTGTTGTCCGTTGCGCGCTGGTCGGCGTGACGCGCCGTCTCCCTCTGCCGTCCAGATGACGCCGCCGGTGCTGGACCAGTTCGGCCGGGTGGTGCATGAGGCGCAGGACGTCTGGCGGCCGCGGCTGGGCGTGGCGCTGGCGCTGAAGGCCATCGGACCGTTCTGCCAGGACAAGCTGATCGCTCAGTGAGTCGGTCCCGCCGGCCATGACGGTGACGCTTTGCAAATGCCACTTAGAGATGGGGCCTGTTGGCCGCTGGTTAATTTGCCCCGATTGCGTGGCGCTTGCAAGCCACTTGCTCTGCTTTCACGTCATCTGTTCCTGCGAAGCCGTCTTTTCTGATGAGGTTACTCCTGGCTGCTGCAGGCTGTGCGTGTTCTCGATAACGGACTGTCATGCTATGTTTTCGTTTCGAATCGGTCGTCCGAGCTAACCTGACGTGTGACCGTCCCCTCGTCTGAGCTGACCTGAAGTGTGACCGTCCCCTCGTCTGAGCTGACCTGAAGTGTGACCGTCCCCTCGTCTGAGCGGACCTGAAGTGTGACTGTCCCTCGTCCGAGCTCGCCTGATGTGTGGCCGTCCCCTCTTCTGAGCTGACCTGAAGTGTGACCGTCCCCTCGTCTGAGCGGACCTGAAGTGTGACTGTCCCTCGTCCGAGCTCGCCTGATGTGTGACAGTCCCCTCGTCTGAGCTGACCTGACGTGTGACCGTCCCTCATCTGAGCTCAGCTGATGTGTGACCGTCCCCTCGTCCGAGCTCACCTGATGTATGACCGTCCTCTCGTCTGAGCTGACCTGAAGCGTGACTGTCCCTCATCCGAGCTGACCTGATGTGTGACCGTCCCCTCGTCTGAGCTGACCTGACGCGTGACCGCCCCCTCGTCTGAGCTGACCTGAAGTGTGACCGTCCCCTCGTCTGAGCTGACCTGAAGTGTGGCCGTCCCCTCGTCTGAGCGGACCTGAAGTGTGACTGTCCCTCGTCCGAGCTCGCCTGATGTGTGGCCGTCCCCTCGTCTGAGCTGACCTGACGTGTGACTGTCCCTCATCCGAGCTGACCTGATGTGTGACCGTCCCCTCGTCTGAGCCGACCTGAAGTGTGACCGTCCTCTCGTCTGAGCTGACCTGAAGTGTGACCGTCCCCTCGTCTGAGCGGACCGGAAGTGGGACTGTCCCTCATCCGAGCTCACCTGATGTGTGACCGTCCCCTCGTCTGAGCTGACCTGAAGTGTGACTGTCCCTCATCCGAGCTCACCTGATGTGTGACCGTCCCCTCGTCCGAGCTCACCTGATGTATGACCGTCCCCTTGTCTGAGCTGACCTGACGTGTGGCCGCCCTCTCGTCTGAGCTGACCTGACGTGTGACCGTCTTTTCATCCGAGCTGACCTGACGTGTGACCTTCCTCTCGTCTGAGCTGGCCTGATGTATGACCGTCCTCTCATCCGAGCTGACTTGATGTATCACCGTCCTCTCGTCTGAACTGACCTGACGTGTGACCGTCCTCTCGTCTGAGCTGACCTTATGTGTAACCGTCCCCTCGTCTGACCTGACCTGACGTGTGACCGCCCCCTCGTCTGAGCTGACCTGACGTGTGACCGTCCCCTCGTCTGAGCTGACCTGACGTGTGACCGTCCCTTCATCCGAGCTGATCTGATGTGTGACCGTCCCCTCGTCTGAGCTGACCTGGCGTATGACCGTCCCCTCGTCTGAACTGACCTAACGTATGACCGTCCTCTCGTCTGAGCTGACCAGAAGTGTAGCCGTCCTTTCGTCTGAACTGACTTGATCTATGACTGTCCTTCGTCTGAGCTGGCCTGATGTGTGACCTTCCTCTCGTCTGAGCTGACCTGATGTATGACCGTCCTCTCATCCGAGCTGACCTGATGTATGACCGTCCCCTCGTCTGAACTGAACTGATGTATGACCGTCCTCTCGTCTGAGCTGACCTGATGTGTGGCCGTCCCCTCGTCTGAACTGACCTGATCTATGACTGTCCCCCGTTCAAGCTGACCTGATGTGTGACCGTCCCCTCGTCTGAGCTGACCTGATGTATGACCGTCCTCTCGTCTGAGCTGACCTGAAGTGTTGTCGTCCCCTCGTCTGAGCGGACCTGATGTATGACCGTCCTTTCGTCTGAGCTGACCTGACGTGTGGCCGTCCCCTCGTCTGAGCTGACCTGACGTGTGACCGTCCCCTCGTCCTAGTTGGTCAGATGTGTGACCGTCCCCTCGTCTGAGCTGACCTGACGTGTGACCGTCCCCTCGTCCTAGCTGGTCAGATGTGTGACCGTCCCCTCGTCAGAGCTGACCTGACGTTTCGACATCCCCTCCGCGCAGGATCATGTCGTTCTTCGTGCCGACTGGTCTGGGGGACCGAGCCGCAGACGTCCGCAACGGCATGCTGTCGGCGGCGCTGACCTGCGTTGAAGCCAACGGAAAGGTGGGCGCGGCGCCGTGTCGTGTCACCGGGCGACGGGGCCGTCGGTCGGTCACGGCTCCCACCGGTGGCGAGTGGTCCGGTCACGGAGATCATGCGACGCATCTGTCAGTTGGGAATGATGATGTGGGCGCTCATTTGTGTTGCGCGCGTCGCTCGTATGCCAATCAGAAGTGGCGCTGTCAGCACTCGGCTGCGTTTTGCGATCACCTACTTCCCATGTGTACAATAAGTTGGCTATCTTTTGTTCGCGTGGCAATGCAAATATGTCTCGGCGGAACCATAATATCTGTCGATTCGTTATGTTTTCCTTTATGCTTGCAATGATGCAAGAATGCTATTTGCATTGTGGGAGCGCCTTGTTCGGCGGATCTGTGTACCGGCCCGTCTCCTCTCGCTGAGCGCCGTGTTCGGCGGATCTGTGTACCGGCTCGTCTCCTCTCGCTGAGCGCCGTGTTCGGCGGATCTGTGTACCGGCCCGTCTCCTCTCACTCTGAGCGCCGTGTTCGGCGGATCTGTGTACCGGCCTGTCTCCTCTCACTCTGAGCGCCGTGTTCGGCGGATCTGTGTACCGGCCCGTCTCCTCTCGCTCCAGGAGGCGGCCACCAGCCTGCTGCCCGTGTTCGACGAATTCCTGGACTCGGCGCCGGCCACGCAGAACTTCGACTCGGTCCGCCAGTCTGTCGTTATCCTCATGGGCTCACTGGCAAAGCATCTGAACAAGACCGACCCCAAGATCAAGCCTATCGTCACCAAGCTGATCCAGGCCCTGGACACGCCCTCCGAGCAGGTCAGGCCCCATCACCGGCTGATGATGCTATGGCATACCGCTAAATATTGGGACAGCTAAGTATACTGATGCAATCAGGTGGAGGCTCGTCGCACCGATGTCGCGGACCTAGTTCGCCTGCCAATCTGCCAGTCTCGGTGCTGGGGCGTCACGAAGGTGTCACCCCCCCAGAGTGCCGGCGTCCGGCGCTTGATGGCAGTCCGGCCTGCCCTGTCGCTCAGCGGCACAGCGACCTGCCTGGGAGCTCAGCAGCCAGCTCTCGGAGCTGCTGCCGGATCCGCTCGCCCTCGTCTGACGCCCGTGTCCCTGCCGTGCTCAGGTGCAGAACTCCGTGTCCTCGTGCCTGCCGGCGCTGGTGCCGGCCATCAAGGAGGACGTGCCGGCCATGGTGCGCCAGATGCTGTCCCGTCTGCTGGAGTCGGACAAGTTCTCGCAGCGGCGCGGCGCCGCCTACGGCATCGCCGGCCTCGTCAAGGGTCTCGGTATCCTGGCCCTGAAGCAGCTCGAGATCATGAACGTGCTCATCAATGCCATTCAGGACAAGAAGGACTTCAAAAAACGAGAGGGTGCGTGCTGCTTGATGTATTGGAGCATCATGCCATGTTCTAAATGCTCTTAAATATGAGCACGTGCATCGTTGTAAGGTTAGGTGCCCTTCACAACTGTGAGGTGTTGTAAGGTGAGTGTGTGGTATCGTATCCATGCGCCCCAAAGGACACCAGAATTTGATGTATTTTCGTGTTCAGGTGTATTTTGTACAAGTCACTCAGTGCGATGATCGGTCTGTTGTTGGGATTAATTGCCGCCAAGTGCGGGCAGCGGTGCCCTCCGCGCAGTGGCCCGGGTGCGCCGGCACACAGCGGCTGTGACCGCCGCCGTGCCTGACCGCCATCCCCCTGCCGCCACCTGTCTCGACAGGCGCCCTCTTTGCCTTCACCATGCTCTGCAACATGCTGGGCCGGCTGTTCGAGCCATACATCGTGCACGTGCTGCCCCACCTGCTGCTCTGCTACGGCGACTCCAACTTGTACGTGCGGGAGGCGACAGACGAGACGGCGCGTGCCGTCATGTCCAACCTGTCGGCGCACGGCGTCAAGCTGGTGCTGCCCTCGCTGCTGGCCGCGCTCGAGGAGGACTCGTGGCGCACGAAGGCCGGTAGGTGGCGCGCGCGGCAGAGCGCGGCGGCGAGGCGGCGCGCGCGCCGGCCGGTCCGCGTTGCCGACGGCGGAAACTGACCGCTGGGTGGTGTTGGTGTGGGTGGGAGGGTGGCTAACGCTCGTGTTGAGGCAGAATGGTGGGTGTCGATCGGTCTGTGGGTAAGCTGCACGTCTGGGAAACCAGAGGTGTGGGGTCCCATTCCCCGCGGTGCCCGCCTTTCCTGCCAGGGCAGTAGGCAGGTCACGCCATATAGCGTTGGAATGTGTCGTAAAGTCGCGATGACGACGAAGTGGACGGGTTTTTGTGCGGGATGGGTTGGTCGGTCTATTACTATCGCCTTTTGGCGGAGCACCTGTTAAAAAATATGAATGGATAAATATGCGTGCAATTTGAAAACTTGAATCGACAAAGATGCGTGCGCATGTTGTTAACGGGCCGTGACCCTGCGAAAAAACGCAGCAGCTATACATTTGCTTGTGTATGCGATTTTTTGTTACGTGAACGCTTTGAATCATCAAGCACTGATATAGGGCGTTGGCGTTGATGGAAGAAATGCTGCTATTTTCAGTACATCTGGCACGTATCTTGCCGCCTTGGGCCCAGCCGTCGGCTGTCGTTAGGCAGTGTGGAGTGCTCCGCGGCGGACCTCGCAGTCGTTAGGCAGTGTGGAGTGCTCCGCGGCGGACCTCGCAGTCAATCGTGAACACTTCAAGGCCGTTATTTTGACACATCTTCTGGGCTGTGTTGTCGGGTGTCGGGAGCCCGTGTTAGGTGCTGCCTACTCCGTCAGCCGGGCACCACCTCACCACCGACGCCGTCACTGTCGGCAGGCTCTGTGGAGCTACTGGGCTCGATGGCGTACTGCGCGCCCAAGCAGCTCTCGTCGTGCCTGCCCAGCATCGTGCCTCAGCTGATCGAGGTGCTGGGCGACTCGCACCAGCGCGTGCAGCGCGCCGGCGCCCAGGCGCTCAAGCAGATCGGCTCAGTCATCCGCAACCCCGAGATCCAGGGTAAGCGGCCGGACGCCGCTGGTGCGATGGACCGGGCTTCGCGGAGGGAATGTTATCTGCCATCGTGACACTGGTCTCAACCTTCCCGTAGAACTGTGTGTGACTTCGTCTTGCCTGATGTTACAGCTGCAGCGACATGGCAGGATGCTCATGTGGATCCCATTTGAAAAAACCTAGGGCAAATTTTATAAGGCCAGAGAACCATGATGTCGCAAAGTAGGTGCTGTTAATGGCCGTAGTTTAAAGTGGCTTCAAATGTGCATACAATTAATCATCTGTCAACCGATTGACAGAGTTGGTGGCGGGTGGAACATGCTGTTCCATTATTTGTGAGGTGTGTGTGAAAACACCCAACCGCTATGAGTGGCGTTTGGTCGGTTGGTGACAAGTGCCGCTCCAGTCCCGGCGGGGGTAAGTCCGGCGGCCGCTCACCCGTGCGGGTGCTGTCGGTGCTGCGCCGCCGGACCGTGCCCATGGCCGGGTGACCGGCGCTGGCAGAGCGGCGCCGGTGCCGGTGCTGTCGGTGCTGCGCCGCCGGGCCGTGCCCCCTGGCCGGGTGACCGGTGCTGACCGAGCGGCGCCGGTGCCGGTGCTGTCGGTGCTGCGCCGCCGGACCGTGCCCCCTGGCCGGGTGACCGGTGCTGACCGAGCGGCGCCGGTGCCGGTGCTGTCGGTGCTGCGCCGCCGGACCGTGCCCCTGGCCGGGTGACCGGTGCTGACCGAGCGGCGCCGATGCCGGCAGCGATCGTGCCGACGCTGCTGTCGGCGCTGCAGGACCCGGCCGGCCGCACCTCGTCGGCGCTCACCATTCTCATCGACACCAAGTTCGTGCACGTGATCGACGCGCCGTCGCTGGCGCTCATCATGCCGGTGGTGCAGCGAGCCTTCCAGGTACGGCCGCTGCTGTGGGCCCGCTGGTGTCTGGAGCGGCCGTGCCGCTCCGTGCAGGACTGCCGGGCCGTGGCCGACTCACCTCGGCTGCGTGACAGTCGGCGTCGATGTTTTGGTGCAGTAGTGGTACCGGTACGTTCGTATTGGCGTGGCTGCTAGATGTGTTGATAACGGAAATTGCAGCTCATGATGGCGACGTTGTCACACCTGTCATTGTGAAATAAAGGCAACGCGGTTGCTGCGATGTACATTGTTAAGTCACATGGCGTTAGCTGGTCTGTGGGTCTGTGCTGAGTGCCTCCATGTAATGGTTCCCTGCGGGGTGGAGTCAACGTGGATGCCTCGGTCTGAATGGTGTCCGGAAGTTCGGGTGGCCATAAGGGCCACGTGCGCCGAAAATGCCTATGATGGCCACGGCTCGGTGGCGTGTATTTAGGACACGCGCCCGATGTCCGCGTGCCATCGCTGCATGTGTGAGCCCTGGGCCCTGACGCCGCGCCCGCAGGACCGGTCGGTGACGTGTGTTTAGGACATGCGCCAGATGTCCGCGTGCCATCGCTGCATGTGTGAGCCCTGGGCTCTGACGCCGCGCCCGTAGGACCGGTCGGTGACGTGTATTTAGGACACGCGCCCGATGTCCGCGTGCCATCGCTGCATGTGTGAGCCCTGGGCCCTGACGCCGCGCCCGTAGGACCGGTCGGTGACGTGTGTTTAGGACATGCGCCAGATGTCCGCGTGCCATCGCCGCATGTGTGAGCCCTGGGCCCTGACGCCGCGCCCGTAGGACCGGTCGGTGACGTGTGTTTAGGACATGCGCCAGATGTCCGCGTGCCATCGCCGCATGTGTGAGCCCTGGGCCCTGACGCCGCGCCCGCAGGACCGGTCGACTGAGGTGCGCAAGATGGCCGCCCAAATCATCGGCAACATGTACTCGCTGACAGACCAGAAGGATCTGGCGCCGTACCTGCCCGGCATCATCCCCGGTCTCAAGTCGTCCCTGCTCGACCCCGTGCCGGAGGTGAGCCGGCCAGGCTGGCGTCGCAGTCACTGCCGCCGCCGCAGCCTAGTTGGGAGACTCGCTCGAAGTGTGCTCTGGTGGTGGACTCGTTGAAGAGAGCCTGACTGGAGCAATTCTGTCGAAGGCTGTTGTTAGAAGCGGACTGGTTGGCCGCAGACTTCTTTTGACGGTGTCCAGTGCCGCTATTGCTGCGTTCAGCAGTGTTTTGCGCTGACTGCACGGCCTGAGTGGCGCTACCGACCGGTCGACGCGTATGTGTGGCCAGCCTCTCCGAACCCCGGGTGTGATTTGTTTCCCCAGTGGGGCGATTGTAGGATGAAGAATCCCAACGGAACTTTGAAATCTTGCCGTTGTATTTCTCTGCCGCTCGTGACAGACCAGCGAGTGGCACGGGGTCAGTGACGTCTCCGGTAGCTGGCACAGCACGTGCTGCCTGCTGCGTCTGCCACCGTGTGCCCGTGTGCCACCGCGTGCCCGCACTAACGCCCGCCGCCGTGCGCGTGCCGCAGGTGCGCAGCAAGTCTGCGCGCGCGCTGGGCGCCATGGTGCGTGGCATCGGCGAGTCTTCGTTCGAGGACCTGCTGCCGTGGTTGATGCAGACGCTGACCTCTGAGCAGAGTTCGGTGGACCGCTCCGGCGCCGCCCAGGGACTCAGCGAGGTGGTCGGCGGCCTGGGCGTCCAGAAGCTGCACAAGCTGATGCCAGGTGCGCGGCGGTCCCCGGCGGTCCCCGGCGGCCCCCGGCGGTCCCCGGCGATCCCCAGCGGCCCCCGGCGGCCCCCGGCAGCCCCCGGCAGCCCCCGGCGATCCCCGGCGGTCCCCGGCGGTCCCCGGCGGTCCCCGGCGGCCCGCGTCCCCGGCGATCTCCGGCGGTCCCCGGCGGCCCCCGGCGGCCCCCGGCGGCCCCCGGCGGCCCCCGGCGGCCCCCGGCAGCCCCCGGTGATCCCCGGCGGCCCCCGGCGGCTCCCGGCGGCCCCCGGCGGCCCCCGGCGGCCCCCGGCGGCCCCCGGCAGCCCCCGGTGATCCCCGGCGGCTCCCGGCGGCCCCCGGCGGCCCCCGGCGGCCCCCGGCAGCCCCCGGCGGCCCCCGGCGGCTCCTAGCGGCCCCCGGCGACTCCCACCTCTCGTCGATTGGTGGCGGCTGGAGCGTCCGGGTTGCCATGATACCGCCGACCATCCGTTTTGGAGTTTGGATCCGTGTGGCCCTGAGAACCTGGCGCAGTGAGACTGAGTTATCGATTATGCAACAAGAACATAAAGTCCTTGGAGGTAGAACACTTGTCACACATTGTGTGTTAGCTCTGCTGAGTGTACCCAAAGTAAGTGTATGTTTTGTTTCTTGTCTTTGCCCTGCGCGCTGGGCTCTAAGCGCCGCTTGTCTTGCTTGCAGACATCATCGCGACGGCATCACGGACGGACATCGCGCCGCACGTCAAGGACGGCTACATAATGATGTTCATCTACATGCCGATGGTGTTCCAGTCAGAATTCACCCCGTACATCGGCCAGATCATCCCGTCCATCTTGAAGGTGAGGGACGGCCGGTGCCGGCGGACCGTGTCCGCCCGCGCCCGCTGCGGCCGGTGTCTGCTAGAGCGGTGTGTATGTCCGAGCATGCCAGACCCTGCTGCTGACGTTGTTTTGGGCTGTGCTGTACATGTTCAGTGTTTGGTTGGGTTGATACAGAGACGTTCATTGCTGGTTGTTCACTGCGTGGGGGTAAGTCGGGGCAGCCTTGGGTACATTGCGGCTGTTACTGCGCAGTGAATGGTCGGCTTAACGGGCGCGGAGCTGACCACGCCGCCGCCTCCGGCCAGCGACGTCACCGGCGAAGTGAAAGCGGGCGACTGGCTCCGATGTGATGGGTGATGAATGTGCGCGTCGGCTCGTTGGTCTAGGGGTATGATTCTCGCTTAGGGTGCGAGAGGTCCCGGGTTCAAATCCCGGACGAGCCCAGTTATTGTTGCTGAATTGCCCGATCGGATGTGCCACGTTGCATTACAGTATAGCTTGGTGTCTGGGAGGTTCCACGACCAGACCCCGAACGAGCCCGGGAAGGTGGACGTGATTGATGTAGACAGATGCGTCATCGGTAGCAAGACTGGTGATTCGTGTGGCGCAGTAGGGTTGTTAACGCGGTTATAAAATAAGGTTGCTTCCGTGGTGCATAATGTTGTGTCAAGAATAAAGACAAATTTAAAGCACACCTTGGCTGAAGGTTTTGAGTTTGTGTTTGTGTGGGAGTCGCGTGCGATGACCGACGACGACGAATTGCGCACGACCTTGGTGTTCACGATTGTTATTCTCTAGGATCCGTGCGAGTTGTAAACATGTGCCGTCTTTTCCGGAGAAGCATGTCGTATGCATGGCCGTTGACGAGGCAAGATATCGAATGCGAAATTGAAAGTCTAAAGCTAGCAGTTAATATTTGTCAGCCAAAACTGCCCGTCACGCTGGCATTACCGCGCTGGAATGGCGGGGCGGTGGAATTTATTGTGAGGACGTCTGCTATCGACGGGGAGGCTCGCATTCACGCGCCGGTGACCGCAGCCGGCGGCCTCAGCGCTTGGTCTCATTTGTTACCGAACGGTATCATATCCTGTTGTCAGCCATTTCAGCTAGGTTTAACGCCGGCCTGTTACAATCCGGTAGAGTTGGCAGACCCGGCCCGCTCCCCTGACCTCCACCCGTTCGCAGTGTAACCCATCCCGACATAATTGGCAGACCCGGCTCGCTCCCCTGACCTCCACCCGTTCGCAGTGTAACCCATCCCCGACAGAATTGGCAGACCCGGCCCGCTCCCCTGACCTCCACCCGTTCGCAGTGTAACCCATCCCGACATAATTGGCAGACCCGGCCCGCTCCCCTGACCTCCACCCGTTCGCAGTGTAACCCATCCCGACATAATTGGCAGACCCGGCTCGCTCCCCTGACCTCCACCCGTTCGCAGTGTAACCCATCCCGACAGAATTGGCAGACCCGGCCCGCTCCCCTGACCTCCACCCGTTCGCAGTGTAACCCATCCCCGCCAGAATTGGCAGACCCGGCCCGCTCCCCTGACCTCCACCCGTTCGCAGTGTAACCCATCCCGACATAATTGGCAGACCCGGCCCGCTCCCCTGACCTCCACCCGTTCGCAGTGTAACCCATCCCCGACAGAATTGGCAGACCCGGCCCGCTCCCCTGACCTCCACCCGTTCGCAGTGTAACCCATCCCCGACAGAATTGGCAGACCTGGCCCGCTCCCCTGACCTCCACCCGTTCGCAGTGTAACCCATCCCCGACAGAATTGGCAGACCCGGCCCGCTCCCCTGACCTCCACCCGTTCGCAGTGTAACCCATCCCGACAGAATTGGCAGACCCGGCCCGCTCCCCTGACCTCCACCCGTTCGCAGTGTAACCCATCCCCGACAGAATTGGCAGACCCGGCCCGCTCCCCTGACCTCCACCCGTTCGCAGTGTAACCCATCCCGACAGAATTGGCAGACCCGGCCCGCTCCCCTGACCTCCACCCGTTCGCAGTGTAACCCATCCCCGACAGAATTGGCAGACCCGGCCCGCTCCCCTGACCTCCACCCGTTCGCAGTGTAACCCATCCCGACATAATTGGCAGGACCCGGCCCGCTCCCCTGACCTCCACCCGTTCGCAGTGTAACCCATCCCCGACAGAATTGGCAGACCCGGCCCGCTCCCCTGACCTCCACCCGTTCGCAGTGTAACCCATCCCCGACAGAATTGGCAGACCCGGCCCGCTCCCCTGACCTCCACCCGTTCGGAGTGTAACCCATCTCGACAGAACTGCCTGTGCGCGTGACCGGACGTGGAATACGCCAATGCGACTGCTCCATGATAGATCAATGCATTGTGAGGTGCACAGTAAAATGTCAACATGTGATAACTATTCATCCCTAATCTGGCTTGTCAGGCAAACTCCGTTACACATTGGCCATGATATGACATAGTCTGGCAAGGTATAGTGTTCCAGTTCGTACCGTCTGACAATTACTCTGTATCTGACGTAGCTCAGGGCCGGTACAAGACGTGCGGCGAACAGTTCACGGGCACCTTTGCCGCTGTTTTATCTGGTGTCCGAACATTATCTCATAATCCTCGTGCATGGGGACTGTCACCCGAGCGTTGGTATTCAAGTGGGAACGGCGGGCAGTATATGGTACACAATGCTGTATTCAAGTGAGAACGGGGGGCAGCATATGGTACACAATGCTGTATTCAAGTGGGAACGGCGGGCAGCATATGGTACACAATGCTGTATGTTGTACGTGTGGGCTGTTGGCCTGACTTGTGGGATGAGGTAGTTGATCTGATAATGATCTGCTTGGTGAGGTGGCTGTCCTAATGGTGACCTGTGTGGTGAGATGGCAGTCCGGTTGGTGACCTGTGCGGTGAGGCGGCTGTCCTGATGGCGACCTGTGCGGTCAGGCGACTGTCGTGATGGTGACCTGCGCGCCCACAGGCGCTGGCGGACGAGACTGAGTTTGTGCGCGAGACGGCACTGAAGGCGGGCCAGCGGATTGTGAACGTGTACGCCGACACCGCCGTACAGCTGCTGCTGCCAGAGCTCGAGCTGGGCCTATTCGACGACAACTGGCGCATCCGGTTCAGGTCAGGACCGCCGACACGGGCCAGAGTGACCGGCGGCGACACGGGCCAGGGTGATCGGCGGTGACACGGGCCAGAGTGACCGGCGGTGACACGGGCCAGAGTGACCGGCGGTGACACGGGCCAGAGTGACCGGCGGTGACACGGGCCAGAGTGACCGGCGGCGACACGGGCCAGAGTGACCGGCGGCGACACGGGGAGAGCGGCAGGTGTTGACACGAGAGAGCGACAGATGATGACACGGAGAGAGCGACAAGTTGTGGCACGAAGAGAGCGACACGTGATGACACGGGGAGAGCGACAGGTGGCGGCATAGGAGAGCGACAGGTGGTGACACGGGGAGAACGACAGGTGGTGACGCGGGAGAGCGATAGGTGGTGACACGGGGGGAGCGACGGATGTATCCCGGGAAAGTGACGGGGCTGGTGTCCCGGGGAGGGACGGGTGATGTTGTTGACAGGGGCGGCCTATTTTCTGGGTGGAGACAGGTCAAGCCCGGAGAGGACGGTTCACATCATTGGCACGGATCCGTGTCTAGAAACCTTTGAATCTAGAAGGGAGCACAACGTGTGCAATTCTGTTGAGAGAAGGAAGCTGATGCATGATTGGCCGTACCGTCAGGGCGGTATGTCCAATGTGATGTGGCGCAGGCAACGGACGTGGGCTCCGTGGCTTTGTTGCTGGCTGGTCTTGCAAACTGAGTCACGCTGCACCATGATCAAACTGGGTCACACCGCACCAAACTGGATCATGCTGCACCAAACTGGGTCACGCTGCACCAAACCGGGTCACGCTGCACCATGGTCAGACGTTTTGCTGGTTACGTGCACTCGTGGCGCGCCGGTTTTCCTTTGGGCATTGCATAAGGGCATTGACGACAAATGAGTTGCCTCTTTGAGGTCGATTACCATATGCACTGGATTTTCCCAACAAAAAAGTTTTATCGATTTCATTACAGAAGCATAATGATGGCAATGTTCAAAAGTTGCCGTGTTATGGGAGGGATTTTATTGTTACGGCTACTCTGCGTGATCCGGCTTTTGCCAGAGGACGTTGTTCTTGTCTCGGTACAGTCTGAATGACCGGATCGCCCTGACCTGGCTGCCGGAGGACGGCCCGTCGAGGCTCGCGTGGCTCATCTCAGACACCGGGACAGTTCGTGGTCTGTACTCTCTGGCTCGGCTCAGCACGGCCAGTCTGTATATCACCGTGGTAACGGGAACTCTTAAGCCCCTCAGGGAGAGAGCTTTGGTCTGCACCATCCGACCCATCTCGGAGCAGTCGAGACTATCACCACATTGTGGCACGTCCAAAAGTGGTGGTGGCGGTCTGAACCCTCTGCCATACCCCAGAACAGTATGAACACTTTCAGCACCCGGGCCTCTCTTGGAACAGTCGAGGTGCTCTTTACAAACACTCATATCTGCCTTAAACAGCCGTAAGAGCAATGTAAACTCCTTGGCCGGTGTTCGAGCTGCTGTCGCAGTCTGTACGCTCCGATCTGTCGTAGTAATTGAAAAGAGATGTGGCCGTGATTCGGCAGCCTGAACGCCCTGGCCTGTCTGAGGACGGACGTGACAGTGACCATATGGCCCGTTTCAGGTCATTCATGGCAGTGAATGTCCTGGTCGGTCTCAGTTCAGTTGCGATGGCCCAAACTCCGTGGCTTGCAGCGGATGGGCCGCGCAGTGTGATCGGCCTGGCGTTCTGCAGAGTGTGTCACGCTGAACTCGCCGAACTCTCAGAGAGTCGTCACGACCAGAGCCTCTCCGGCGCAGTGAAGCGGACGCGGCCGCGTTCTTCTGTCTGTATTATAGTGACAGTTGCGAGAGAGTTATGGTGCGGTATTCTGGGCAGCACTTTCAATAAGTGCAGTTGGTCCGGGCCGGAGGGTGAGAGGCTTATCCACTCCGGTTGATATCCTGCATTAGTGTCAATCGCGCTGCCCCAGATGATACGCCTCTGATCTACTGCCTCCCCCACCCCAGCCCTACGCCGTTAAACTGCCTCCCCCACCCCAGCCCTACGCCGTTAAATTGCTTCCCCCACCCAGCCCTATGCCTTTAAACTGCCTCCCCCACCCCAGCACTACGCCGTTAAACTGCCTCCCCCACCCCAGCCCTACGCCGTCGGGGATGGTGGAGCGACCTGTATATTGTTATCAGCTGAGCTTTGTGGTAACGGGATGGCAGGCAGTGGTCGGTGGCCGCCCTGAGCAGCCGTCTGACCGGACCTCAGGCCGACTCGACCCGGAGACCCGTCCCTGCTGTCGCTCCCGGCCGCCGCCCTTTCGGAAGCCGCCCGTCGTTCTGTCAGGCCCGACCGCCCTGTCGGGCTCGGCCATCGTCTTGTCGCTCCCGGCCGTCATTCCGTCGGGCCCGCTCGCCGCGCTGTTGGGACCGGCCCCGTCTTGCCGTGCCCGGCTGCCGTCCTGTCGGGCCCGCTCGCCGCGCTGTCGGGCCCGGACGCCCGGAGCGGGCCCAGGCCGTGACCACCGCCCAGACGAGCGCGGCCGGCACTGAAAGGCCGTCATAACGGGCTCACAGCTGGCCACGCTGTCGCCGGCCCGCCGGCCGACCGACCTGTCGCTGACGTCATTGATATGGTGAAAGCTGACGGCCCGCTCCGCGCGGATGGATAATGGTTAGAGTGCAGTGGCTCGTTGGTCTAGGGGTATGATTCTCGCTTAGGGTGCGAGAGGTCCCGGGTTCAAATCCCGGACGAGCCCAGTTATTGTTGCTCGTGGATCTGGGATTCATGCTGAGAAGGAAAGGTTGCTCATCAAGTGGGGTAAGGGTCCCGGGTTCGAATCCCGGATGTGTCTCGCTTTTGTATGGTTGCCATTCAATGGCACGAAATTGTGTGGGTGTTGGAGGTCCCGGCTGTGAGTCATGGAGGACCTGGCTCGCTTGTTTGGGCTTGCTTGGCTTGCTCACTATGGATTATGGCTGGCTGATGTGGACGCCTCACGCGCAGTTCGGCTCGTCGGCTCACGGAGCTGTCGAGGCCGGTACGTAAACCCTTACCATCAGATTGCAGCACCGCCGCGTGCACCTCATTGTCCCCAGCCACGGCCAGCGAGTCGCGAGACTGTGCGGTCCACAGTCGCGCGGTTTATTTGGTACCGCCATTTGTGACATCACCTCCGCCAGCTGGGCTTGGTATGCGTAGTACAGATCAACCTCAGAACTCTAGGTGGCGCTTCTGCTGTTTTCTTTGGGACAAAGTGAGGCCGCTGATACCAAATCAATTATTGTATGGACATCATGTTCACTTTTCGCTACCACGACCACAAATTTTGAAACCGTATTGTCTCTTACGGCAGTGTTGTTGTACACGCTGCAGACTACACGTAGTCTTATTAGCGTGTGGGCATTATCCATTCCTCCCTATCATCTCCAGGCTCTAACCGTGCAGCGCAACAACGTGTAGTCCCGGTGAACGGTACCCGCTATGTGATATGTTTTCATGTACAACGGTTAAAATAGAGAACTTAACACCTAGGTGACCTGGAATATTTTCAAAAGCTATCCGCGCGCCCTATTTAGAAATTTGATGATTTTTTGCCTGATATATGTGTACACGCATCCACCAGCACGCGTGTTGACCCTAAGGAGTCGTTTCACGACAAAAAAGCGGCTTTCAGTGCACCCTGTTGGGTGGCCCGGCAGTCCTGTCGAGATAGGTATTTTGTGAATACAAATGGTGCGCCAGGCAGGGCGTCACTGGTTTCTGGTGGTCGCTGGTTGCAAATATGCGGAATGCCTGCTCGTTAGCTGTAAGAAGCATATTCGCATTAGTGTGGGCTCGTGATAAATTGCTCGGTACTTAGGTCCGCAGATTATGATTGATGTTCCTCGGCGTTGTTTTTTGTGCGTTCGGTTTCCAGGACAAATGCTCCTTTTCTACGGAGAGATAACGGGATTCTTTATGACGAACCACTCACACAGATGGCCGCATTACTCGGGTAGTGATAAATCTCGGAGTCGTCGGGGAAAGGAAGAATGCCGCATCTGGACTTGTTTTGCCAAGACCCTCTGCAATTAAAGGGCGGAGCTAGTTGCCTTTGTGCAAGTCGCTCGGATGTTCTGGGGTCACCTCGAAGGTGTGAAGGTGTGAAGGTATAAAGCAAGCATCCCAGTTTGATTCAACCTCTGGTGAAAAGCCAGTCAAAACTCCAAAGGCCACCTTATTATAGAGCATGGTCACCAACACACGCGCGTCGACGGGTAACCATCGGAAGGAGGAGGCGTTTGGAGGGCCGTCACCGCTCAGTTCGCTGCAATGCGCTGTGACCAGGCTTTGTCCCTGGGATTGAGATACGTGGTGGTATCTTGTGGAGGAACCTTAAGGTGTCTGAATTGGGCTTTATTGTAATGAAATGAATGTCTGACTTTCCGAAATGCCGCCTTAACGTAACTGTTTACAAAACCCATTTGGCCACGGTCTGGTGAACACGAATGTCGACTGAGTATGGGTGACATAAAAGTATTGCTCAACAACCGAACAAAGAAAGAAATCATTTGCTCGCGGTGACTTGAAATCCGGCTGAAGCATTATCGACAAATCTTTGTCAAAAATGTGCGTCCTTAGGACGGATTGAAGGAGATAGGCATCGCTATCCTGAATGGGACAGACATGATGTAGTTACGGCCATGGACATATATCTTAACACGTGAAACATGGCACGTTTAACGTCCAGTGTCAAGCCGTCCCCAGATTCCTCTCATTTCATTCATTGTTTCATGACACTCTGTGTCGGCCATTTGCTTGATGTGACCAAATGAGCACAGGGTGCAGTTTTCGTCCTTGACTTGAGGCACAGTATTGCCCGTAACACAAATATTAATCATCTGTTCCAGCCCTGCCTTCTGGGGGACTGGTGTCTCAGTCCTACGGATCTAGACTTCTGACCCCGACAACTTTGCTGGATGACTTACCATACCCAATGTCAGCTGTGATGCATACTTGCGCGTGGCGCGGTGTACCTCGCCACCGTCGGTGGCCCCGCGTGACGTGCCCTTTCACCCCGTGCGCAGCTCGATCCAGCTGCTGGGTGACCTGCTCTACCGGATATCGGGCGTGTCCGGCAAGATGAGCACGGAGACGGCCGGCGACGACGACAACTTCGGCACCGAGCACAGCCAGCAGGTGGGCGCCGCCGGCCGGGGTGGCTCGGGGCGGCACGTGTGGCCGGTCCCCGGTGTGCGCGGACCGGGCCGCGGGCGTGGGCGGTCACCGTCACCGGCGCATCTGCCTGCCCCGAGGCCGTCGGGCCGCGGCTTGCTCCCGCCCCGACAGCCGATCACCGTCGACCATTGTCTTTCGCCGACCACTGCCGGGGCCGCTGTCTGGGAGCCGGGCCCGTGCGCGGTGCCGGGCGCCGGTCTCACCTGGCGCCTGGTGTCGGCGGCGCTGACGTGTGTGCTCTGAGCTCGCGGGCAGCTGACCGGCGCAGCTGACAGCGCCGCGGCGCCGCCCGGGCCGAGCGCGTGGTGCGGACAGCTGACTCGTCTGCTCCCTAGTGCGCCTCTGCCACCGCCACGGTCGCCAGACGGCTGACTCGTCCGCCCCCCCAGTGCGCCTCTGCCACCGCCACGGTCGCCAGACGGCTGACTCGTCTGCTCCCCAGTGCGCCTCTGCCACCGCCACGGTCGCCAGACGGCTGACTCGTCTGCTCCCCAGTGCGCCTCTGCCACCGCCACGGTCGCCAGACGGCTGACGGCGCGTATCTCTCCGCCGGCAGTCGATCATCCACATCTTGGGCGTGGAACGGCGCAACCGGGTGCTCTCCGGCCTGTACATGGGCCGCTCGGACGTGGCGCTGATGGTGCGCCAGATCTCGCTACACGTCTGGAAGATCGTGGTTCCCAACACGCCGCGCACGCTGCGTGAGATCCTGCCCACGCTGTTCACCCTGCTGCTCGGACACCTGGCCAGCACCAGCCACGACAAGCGCCAGGTGACGTCGCCCGCCGCCCTCGGCCTCTTGCGCTGACGCCCTGTGCGGAGGAGATGACCTGCGGCTCTGCGACGCCGCGCCTGGGGCGTTCCAGCGTCATGGCGCGGTGGCGTAGTACTCGTCATTGTATTGTGGCGTTGCTGCCGCTGTTCAGGCGTTGCGGCCGGCCGAATGATGGTGGCATGTAACGTGGATTGGGATCAGTGCAAGGTTTTACGCACATCAAGTGTCATTTTGTCGGATGGAAGTCCAGACTATGGTGTCTGTGTGTTGTGCACCGTGAGACGCACCTCCTCGTGCTTTTTCTGACTTCATTGCTGCGTGGCCGCGCTGCGGCGTCCGGTTGCATCACAGCCTGCGCCGGGTGCCGCCAGGTGGCAGCGCGGACGCTGGGCGACCTGGTGCGGAAGCTGGGCGAGCGCGTGCTGCCGGAGATCATCCCGATCTTGGAGCGGGGCCTGCAATCGGACGAACCGGACCAGCGCCAGGGCGTCTGCATCGGCCTGAGCGAGATCATGGCCTCCACCAGCCGGGACATGGTGCTCGCCTTCGTCGACAGTCTGGTGCCCACCGTCAGGTCAGTTGCCAACCGCGCTGCACGGCACGAGTCTCGGATGGCCGCATTGTGCGCTCCCGTGGTTTTAAGGTTTTCTCCAGTCCGCGCATGGATCTTTCCGGCCTGAAATGAACCCTCAGATGAAGTCTGTGAGGCTCCTGTTTGACCTCTGTATGACCGCCTGAGGTTGTGCTGTTTGACCTCCGTGTGACCCCTTCGGACGGGTTCTGTTTGACCTCCGTGTGACGCCGGCAGGCGGGCGCTGTCTGACCCTCTGCCGGAGGTGCGCGCCGCCGCCGCCCAGACGTTCGACTCGCTCCACAACACGGTGGGCACGCGCGCCCTGGACGAGATCCTGCCGCCGCTGATGGAGCAGCTGAGCCACCCCGGCGGACAGGTGAATGGCGAGGAGGGCGCGCCCGCGGCCGCCGGTGGGGGTCCGCAGATCACGTGCACCATTGTCCGGTGTCACTGGGCCAGGTGTGTCTGACCATGCTGCCCTTGTCTGGAGACCCAGCAGTGATTGAAGCCTGACTTTACGCGTAAAGTTGAATGTGTTGTCGAAATTTTAAATTAATGACATAGATCTTGTGCTCTGGCCTGTGTACCGAACTTTGCAGTTAACGCACCCTTAAAACCCGATTGCGACCAATGTTGTCATGCTTGAACACGAGATCCGCGGCATGACATGGCTGGCATGTGACAGAGTAAGTCACGTAATCTATGCGTGCCATGTGGTCATACCGTATGACCATGTGGGCGCCATGTGGCCATACCATTTGACCATCTTGGCGCCACGTGATTATATATGGGCGCCATGTGACCATGTGTGGGCGCCATGTAGCCATATGTGGGCGCCATGTGGCCACACATGGGCGCTACGTGATGGGGGTAGTCGGCGCGCCCTGAAGCCTGTATCATCATCTAATCTGACCTTGCGAGCCCACCTGGGATACATGCATGGCGTGGTCACCCTGTCCTTTGCCCGGGTGCACGCTCCGACATTGTGCTGCCGTTGTCAGGCGGAGTACGTGCTGGACGGCCTGCGTCAGGTGATGGCCATCAAGTCGCGGGTCGTGCTGCCGTACATGGTGCCGCAGCTGACGGCGCCGCCCGTCAACACCAAGGCGCTCAGCATCCTGGCCTCGGTGGCCGGCGACGCCCTGACGCGCCACCTCGGCCGCATCCTGCCGGCGCTCATGTCAGCCATGGGCGCCGCCGAGGCCGGCGAGCCGGCCGCAGAGCAGGCCGGCTACTGCGAGTCGGTGATCCTGTCGGTGCTGGAGCCGGGCGGCGTGCGGACCGTGGTGGACGAGCTGCTGGAGGCGACGCGCGCCGGCTCGCTGCCGCGCCGCCGCGCCGCCGTGGCGCTGCTCGCGTCGTTCTGCGGCCAGACGCGCGCCGACTACGAGCAGCACGTGCCGCAGCTGTTACGCGGACTCACGCATCTCTTCATCGACGAAGATGAGCGCCTGCTGCAGGTCAGTATGGCAAAGACAGGTGGAGGGGCTTGAGGGGCCGCGTCAAGCAATGCGAACTATCCGTGCTTTCCGAGTGGGAGTTTTGGTATGTGCATGTGCAGAATCATTCTTGAATGGTTACATGTAGTATCTATGTACAATGGCTGCGGCGGTGTTGGTGCCGGACGGCTCCCACTGGCCTCGCCGCCGGACGGCTCCCACTGACTTTGCTGTCGGACGGCTCCCACTGACTTCGCTGTCGGACGGCTCCCAATGGCCGCTGTTGAACGGCTCCCACTGACCTCGCTGCCGGACGGTTCCCACTGACTTCGCTGCCAGACGGCTCCCACTGACTTCGCTGCCAGACGGCTCCCACTGACTTGGCTGCCGGACGGCTCCCACTGACTTCGCTGCCAGACGGCTCCCACTGACCTCGCTGCCGGACGGCTCCCACTGACCTCTGCCGGACGGCTCCCACTGACCTCGCTGCCAGACGGCTCGCACTGGCCTCGCTGCCAGACGGCTCTCACTGACCTCGCTGCCATTCACAAATCAGTCGGCGACACATGAGCTCTGCCTCACGCCTGTGCTGTCCCGTTTCATACCAGTTGTGCTCTACGCCCGCCCTGTGCGGTGTTTCAGTCTGCCTGGGAGGGTCTAAGCGCCGTCATCAAGCGGTTGGAGCTGGATGACGAGCACAGCTACTACATCCCGGACGTGCGCCAGGCGGTGCGGTTCGCCGCCAGCGACCTCAAGGGCAAGCAGCTCATGCCCGGCTTCTGCCTGCCCAAGGTCGGTGACGTCCGGTCACAGAGGGACGGCGGGGGCCGGGAGGTGTTGCCGCCTGCGTTAGGTCATTTGTGACCTTGCGCTGTCACTAGTGACGGTTGCCCGGGTGCCGTGGAGTGACGACTGTGCCGCAGCGTGCTGCCAGCGCGCTGGTCTGCCAGAGATGACGTGTACCATGCCTTGGCCCTGGGAACACCGACACTTCCACTGATGTGCGTCACGCCCCGTACCGCTGCGATACGCTGGATCGCCGCCCACCACGCCCCGTCTCTGACGCCGGCCGGCCGCCGCCCCGGCAGGGCATCACCCCGATGCTGCCCATCTTCCGCGAGGCGGTGCTGAACGGCGCGCCCGAGCTGAAGGAGTCGGCGGCCGCCGGTCTGGCTGAGATGATCCGGCTGACTTCGCCGGCGGCGCTGCGCACCAGCGTCGTCCACATCACCGGACCGCTGATCCGTATCCTGGGCGACCGGTTCGCCTGGAACGTCAAGGTGGCCGTGCTCGAGTGTCTGGCGCTGCTGCTCGAGAAGGTGGGCGTCATGCTGAAGCCGTTCCTGCCGCAGCTGCAGACCACCTTCCTGAAGGCGCTGGTCGACCCGCACAAGCAGGTGCGCCTGCGTGCGGCCACCGCGCTCGGCCGACTGATCCCGATCCACACGCGCGTCGACCCGCTCTTCACCGAGCTACACAGCGGCATCCGGTCGGCAGAGGACACTGGCGTCAGGTGAGGACTCCGGCGTCAGGTGAGGACACTGGCGTCAGGTGAAGGCTCCGGCGTCAGGTGAGGACACTGGCGTCAGGTGAGGACACTGACGTCAGGTAAGGACACTGACGTCAAGTGAGGATCCCGGCGTCAGGTGAAGACCTTGACGTCAGGTGAGGACACCGGTGTCAGGTGAGGACCCGGTGTCAGGTGAGGACTCCGACGACAGATGAGGACACTGACGTCAGGTGAGGACCCCGGGGTCAGGTGAGGACTCCGACGTCAGGTGAGGACACCGGCGTCAGGTGACAGCCGGAACCGGTGCCGGGTGACGGCTGAGGCCTTAAATAAGCATAAGAGAGGGCACGGGTCTTTTAAGGATGGCAGGCCAGCATGCTCTTCCTTTTACCTGGGTGAAGAGGCCGGGAGAAGATATAGGATTGGTCGGAGGTGGCAGACGAGCCGGTTCGTAAGTCCGACCGCGACGGCTGGAGCGGCCGTGTTCGGGTCCACAGCCGACCTGACGTCCGGCGCCCCGCAGGGACACTACGCTGCAGGCGCTGCGTAACCTGGTGGGTCCGGCCGGCGACAAGATGGGCGACGCCGTGCGAAAGCCGATGCTGACCACACTGCTGGACCTGCTGGGTCACACGGAGGAGAGCACCCGGCTGGCGGCGGCCGGCTGCCTGGCCGCCCTCTGCCGCTGGCTGCCACCCGACGAACTGCACGTGGCCTACCGCGACACCATACTGGGTCAGTGTCCAGAGGACCGGCACACCGGCCGCGGTCAGAGGGGTGCCCGACACCATACTGGGTCAGTGTCCAGAGGAGCGGCACACCGGCCGCGGTCAGAGGGGTGCCCGACACCATACTGGAGTGTCCAGATGAGCGGCACACCGGCCGCGGTCGGAGGAGCCCGACACCGCCCAGCGACCTCAGTTGGGCGTGTAGCACCTGGTGGCAGCGGCACGGGGCGCGCGCGCTCGCCGACCGGCTCGTCACCAGCAGATCAGTCACCAACCCCTGCGCTCTCGCTACTATGCTCGAGCGGCGCCTGTCCCGTCTGTGTGCATCTGTACCCTGCGCTCCCCTCACGTGGCGCGTCACGTGTCTCCGCGCTCTTCACCGTCCCGACGGGCGCGGTTGACATGACACGCAGTCCTCTGACCACTCGTGACACGAGCCCGTGTCCGCACTGGCCCGACCTGGCTGGCGCCGCGCCCTCTGACGACGCGTCGCCGCGCGCCGCCGCCAGATGACGACAGCATGCTGGACTGGACAGTGCGACACGGCCGCAGTGCTGCCCTGTACGTGGCGCTCAAGTGCGCGCCCGAGCAGGTGCTAACCGACGACTGGACCAAGCGCACCATCCGCGTCATCGTCGGCTACGTACAGGTGAGGCGGCGTCCGTGCGGCGGTAGTCGGTGGTCAGCAGTATGCTGACCACCGACTATGTCAGGTGCGCTGACCATGCTGACCCGTCTGTCCGGTGTGCTGACCATGTTGACCCGTCTATCCGGTGTACTGACCGTACTGACCCGTCTGTCCGGTGTACTGACCATGCTGACCCGTCTGTCCGGTGCGCTGACCATGTTGACCCGTCTGTCCGGTGTACTGACCGTACTGACCCGCCTGTCCGGTGTACTGACCGTACTGACCCGTCCGTCCGGTGCGCTGACCGTGTTGACCCGTGTGTCCGGTGTGCTGCCGCTGACCGGGACGCGTCGCTCTGCAGGCGGACCGGCCTCCGCTGGTGATGAACGGCCTGCGGGCGGCTGGCTATCTATTGCGCCATCAGCTGAGCAGCGCCCAGGGCGCGGCCGGCTCGCCGCTGCTGGCACCGCTCGTCCGCTCCATCAACAACAACAGCAACGAGGTAATCTCCGGTGCGGGGAACATCGCCGGCGTGCCGGCGGGCCGAAGCTCGCTGGGTATAGACGGGATAGAGAGGTCCCTGGTGGCAGAGGGTATATGTGCATAGAAGTCTGTTATATATCGGAGTCTGATATATATATATATATATATATATATATATATATATGTGTGTGTGTGTGTGTGTGTGTGTGTGTGGTGTGTGTGTGTGTGTGTGTGTGTGTGTGTGTGTGTGTGTGTGTGTGTGGTGTGTGTGTGTGTGTGTGTGTGTGTGTGTGTGTGTGTGTGTGTGTGTGTGTGTGTGTGTGTGTGTGTGTGTGTGTGTGTGTGTGTGTGTGTGTGTGTGTGTGTGTGTTGTTGTGTGTGTGTGTGTGTGTGTGTGTGTGTGTGTGTGTGTGTGTGTGTGTGTGTGTGTGTGTGTGTGTGTGTGTGTGTGTGTGTGTGTGTGTGTGTGGTGTGTGTGTGTGGGTGTGTGTGTGTGTGTGTGTGTGTGTGTGTGTGTGTGGTGTGTGTGTGGTGTGTGTGTGTGTGTGTGTGTGTGTGCGTGTTTGTGTGCGTGCGTGCGTGCGTGCGTGCGTGCGTGTGTGTGTGTGTCTATGTATCAGCCTTCGATGCAGAAGTCGTGAAAACGCGGCCTGATGTCTCCGAATTCCCACTCAGAGACGCATCCCCGACTGGAAATCTGGGAGTCTGTCCCAAGGTAGTCCAATGCCGCCAGACCTATGACGTGAACGAGCACGCTGTGTTGTCGGCTGTGTGCAGCCGGCGGTGCCCGTGCGCTCCGCTGCAGAGTGATGGATGGCGCAGCCTCCACCGCTCGCCGTGTTCCCCGGTGGCCCGTTCGCTAGCCGCGCTGATGATATTGTGCGGTGCTTTTATTCCACTGCTGACCTTTGGAGGCAGTGCCTTGGCACTCCAAGGAACTAGGGAATGCAATCAGTATCCCGCTGTCCAAGCAGACTCCAGGCGGTCATTGCCCCGGAGTCCGAATTTCATTTCAGACGCGACATATCCCTGTCTCGTTTTTCAAACAAACAAACGTCAGGTCTACGCGTTCTAGATTTCTAGGTCTAGATTTCGTCCATGACTTCGCTGTCTTTGGGAGGCCTTATGGTGGCACAGCGCGTACACCGCATGGCTGTTGCGCGATGTCTTTATTCAGCCCCTAGCACCATGCTGGTAGGTCTACTGCGCGTGACCACTACCACCCGACCAGGCTTGATGCTGATGTGTGTGTGTTGTGTGTGTGTGTGTGTGTGTGTGTGTGTGTGTGTGTGTGTGTGTGTGTGTGTGTGTGTATGTGTGTGTGTGTGTGTGTGTGTGTGTGTGTGTGTGTGTGTGTGTGTGTGTGTGTGTGTGTGCGCGCGTGCGTGCGTGCGTGCGTGCGTGCGTGCGTGCGTGCGTGCGTGCGTGCGTGCGTGCGTGCGTGGGTGTGTCCATCCGCGCCAGCGATCGTCAGGTTCTCTGCGTCTTGGGGTTACTTTAATTATTGCACGCTGTAGATTCCCGGCACGAACTCGAGATGTCCTCCTGCCAGTGCGCCTAAGCTTTATTTCGGAGATGCCAGCTTTTAATGAAATCCATCGGGATGAATTGTCGCAATATATACGGCCGATGAATTGCGTGGACCAGACCTCTGCCTCGAGAGAAACGGAACGTCGCCCTGCGACAGGCCGACCTGATCGAGGAGCCTTACATTTGGAACCAGTTGCACCGTAAGATATCTAAACTCCTGACTGGTGCTGGCATGTCTCTGAACAGGAAAGCTGCGAGTGCGTTGTTGGGAGAAAGAAAAGACGACACGTCCTTGTCTAACAAGTTTGCCTTGACCATCGACCACGGCGCAAACGGCCAGAGTGGGCGTCTGTGCCAGCACGTGGCCGCTCCTCGCACGCGCCCGAGCGCAGCAGCTTCCCACGGGCTGTGCGAATCTCGCCGCCGAGCGCAAGGGACGACCGCCCTAAATAGCCGCCGGCGCGCAATAGCGGGGAGCGGCGATGGACGGACGGCGCCGGCGGCGGATTCGATTGCCGGCGGCGGCGGCGCGCTGCCAGTGCATTAGCTGGCGGCGGCCGGCCGCACCTGGGGCTCCGTTCGGATGCACCTGTGTTTTGTGTCCGGGCGGCTGGGGCGTCGGCGGCAGCGGCAGCGGCGGCAGCGGTCAGGCAGCTCTGGAGGCAGGCGGCCGCGGCTCTCTGAGCCGTCGGCCAGCGGCCGGTGTCCGGCTTGCGGTCCTGAAGGCCCTGTCAGGGATGAGCCACCAGTGCTCCGCGACCAGCTGGTGTTCGGGAATCAGCCAGGACCATGTAACCAAGGTGTTATGACCCGGCCGTAGTGGGCAGCAGACGGTGGTTCCCGTTGCGCCCTAGCTAGGTCACCCTGATCGTGGCCCGTCGCGCCCCAAGTGGGCCAGCCTGATCGTGGCCCGTCGCACCCCAGCTGGGCCGGCCTGATCGTGGCCCGTGGCGCCCCAGCTGGGCCAGCCTGATCGTGGCCCATCGCACCCCAGCTGAGCCGGCCTGATCGGGATCCCGTCGCACCCCAGATGGGCCAGCCTGATCGTGGCCCGTCGCACCCCAGCTGGGCCAGCCTGATCGTGCCCCGTCGCGCCCCAGCTGGGCCGGCCTGATCAGGCCCCCGGCTCGAGATCCGATCAGCGGTGCCGCTGCCACCGCCGGCGGCGGCGGCCGCTTCGGACGGGCCTGATTGCGGGGTCGGCCGGCCAGAAAGCCGTCCGGTCTCCGCCGGCTGACGGGCCCGGCGGCGGCCGCGTGCTCGCTCGGCCACGCCAGGCGGGTAATGAGAACCGCCGCAGTCACGCCGCTGGTGCCGGCCTTCAGAGGCAAACGTCCGCCTGGAGGGCTACCGTGTGTTGTCTGAGGACCAGAGCTGTGGTGGCCAAGTGGCACGGTTTTAGGTTTTCCTTTTGAATACTATTAACAAGTTGACGCCTTGCATGTGTTGAGTTTGTCGCATTCACAGAGCCGCTTTCACCAGGTCCCACCCGGAGCGAAAAGAAAACAATTAGGATAAATCATGCACGCAACGCCAACCGCCAGACAGACCAAACGCCTGCGGAACAGCCCGGCCGCGGGCTCGGTGTGCGTTCATGCTAATGCCAAGACGCTTCGCGGGAATATGCTATCCCACCCAAAAGCTTGAAGTGTAATAAATGTGGCGTATGTGGACCATTGACTACCTTCGCCGAAATCGTGTCAAGTTTAGATGAGTAGAAGGACTCCACTGACATGTTAAGGCTCTGATTGACTAGGAAGCCATGGGCGAGAGGTGCAGATGGCTCAAGGAGACCGCGGGCGGAACTAGTGACAAAAAATAAATAGAGAAAAAATACTAAAAGACAGATAGTGAAATAGTATCAACGTTGAATCTGAGGAAGTTGTGCAGCTCATTGTGTGAGGAGAGTGGGACGTCCGATGCCGTTTCGTCATTGGTCGGGGTTTCTATCAGTGCAGGTCAGTGCGATGTTTTCTCTGGGCGTTGGGTATTAGTGGGTTGTGGTGTGATACTGACTGCCAACAGTCAGGTTGCTAGATGCCCGAATGTGAAGGGCGATTGTGGCGCTTTGTCTGCCTCCCTGGCCATCCGGTCCGCGGGGTGCAGCACAGCACCCACACCCCGGGGATGGTCTGACCCAGAGCGGCTGCGGTCGACCGGCGTGGCTACCTGACCCCCGCCCGTCCGTGGCCGCTGCTCGCCGGGCGTTCAGACGGACCGTCACTCACGCGCCGGTCGGCGTGGTGAGCGAGCTCTGACTGCACGCCTCGGGCGGCCGATCGACGCCAGACCGAGAGCCTCGAAGCCAGACTGAGACCCTCGGACATCAGACTGTGACTCTCCACGGCAGACTGAGACCCCCGACGGCAGACTGAGACCCTGGACACCAGACTGAGAACCCCTGACAGCAGTCGGTTTTCTGACGCCCGCCCCGTCTGTGGCCAGGTGAAGCAGCTGTCGGCGCAGGTGGTGGAGCTGCTGGCCAGCGGACACCCGGAGCCGCTGCCGGCCGACGTGGCCCGGCTGGTCATCCCCATGCTGGTGAACGGCACCAAGGAGAAGAACACGGTGGTGCGCGCCTGCGCCGAGAGCGCGCTCGTTGCGGTGCTCCGGCTCCGGCACGGCCAGAGCACACAAGAGGTGAGCGGACCGATGCCGCGGGCCGGGCCGGGCCGGGTCGAGGTGCGCTGCCCCGAGGCGAGCCGGGGGCCGCGGTGCGCAGCTTCGGTTCGCCCGGCTGGAGCCGGTGCTGTGCGGTGCCCATTGTCGCGGCCGCCCGGCTGGAGCCGGTGCTGTGCGGTGCCCATTGTCGCGGCCGCCCGGCTGGAGCCGGTGCTGTGCGGTGCCTATTGTCGCGGCCGTCCCGGGCGCCGCCGTCGTCTCGTGTCGCCTCCCCCCGGACCGGTCCGTGCCGCTGACGCCGTGTCCCGGACGTCGGCAGGAGATGCTGGCGATGCTGGACGCGGGCGCGCGCGACTCGCTGCAGGAGGTGATCAGCAAGGTGCTGCGGAAGGATGCCGCCTTGTCAGGCCAGCAGGTGCTGGACCTGGACGAGACGGTGCTCAGCTGATGCGGCCCGGACGACGGACGGGTCGCTCCCGAGCGGCGGTGGGCTCTGCTGATGGGCACGGGAAATGCAGAGTTGTTTACTTACGGCGGGTGTTGTTTCTGGGCTGCCGGCTTTACTGTAAGTGGTGTGGCGTCTGCTTAAGCAGTTGTGTGTTGAGAATACGCATGGCTATCCAGGTTTGCCGCGCTTTGCGAGGGCCTGTTTTGAGCACGTGGACTGCGTGGGTGTGTCGCACTCGCGCCAGCTGCCATGGGTTTCGTAAATAAAACAGCGCCGCACCGCCCAAAAGTGGTCTGCTTTGTCCCCAAACCAGCTTTTCAAAACGAAATGTATAAGAGCAGAGTCGCACCGTGCACTTCGGCGATATTAGCATAGCACTCTGATTGTGGCTCTCGCGGGACCGTGAACATCCTCCGAGAAGGGGGGTTGTTGTGGATCTATTTCTAAGCTATGACTTCAAGCGTGCTTAAATCGCCAGTTTTAGTAATACGTTTGCCATTGCAAGTTGATGGAAGAAAGACTCGAAATGCCCGCTTTCGGAAATACTTCGGGAATACTGGTAACAGACGGCATCTGGATCGATACCGTATCGGTTCTGTGTCCATACTGTGTCGCCGCTGTATCGAGACTGCTGGTAGTGCGGCGGTTGGCTGTAGATGTGGAGAGCGCGAGACCCCCGTTGAACGTCGTCCCCGCGACGGAGAAGATGAGACAAAAACAGAAGCCCGCAGGAACGGCCACTGGAGCTGCGCGCGCCGACATCGGTGTGGTGTGGAGCTGCGCGCGCCGACAGGGACAGAGCGCGAGACCCCTGTTGAACGCCGTCCCCGCGACGGAGGAGATGAGAAAACAGAAGTCCGCGGGAACGGCCACTGGAGCTGCGCGCCGACATCGGTGTGGCGTGGAGCTGCACGCGCCGACAGGGACAGAGCGCGAGACCCCTGTTGAACGTCGTCCCCGCGACGGAGAAGATGAGACAAAAACAGAAGCCCGCGGGAACGGCCACTGGAGCTGCACGCGCCCACATCGGTGTTAGCGAGGCCAGCAAGCGCTCCAAGTATTCGTAGCTTGACAGGGACAGAGCGCAAGTCTAATCCTAATCACCTTATAAACTATGCAAGCGACGTGCGGCATGGACCAGGCTCGACGAGCCGCTCGCCTGGCCGGTCGCTGCTGTCAGCCAGCGGACGCGGCGCTCGCAAAAAAATGGCCTCCCAAGCTGGGGTGTTCAGTGCGCTATGGTCAGGACAGGTCTGAGCTGCAGCAGCAGTGCGGCATGACGTCTCAGCTTCGGTTGCCAGCAGAGCCAGCTGCCCGGTCCGGCTCGGAGCGCCAATGAGGCTAGGTCACGTAGGCAAAACGACGTTGCAGCGATACCCTGGACAGGGTATGACTGGGTCGTTCATGGAACGCTTGGGCTGACAGCCAACGCAATGGGAGGAAGATCCTCGTTCTGTAATAGTTCGGACATCGTTCTTTCTTGCGTACCTTCCACTTGCTTGTATGCTCGCGCATTCCTCGCGCCGGTTGAGCTTGGCGCCGGTTCGCTGACGGGAGCTCTGAGCCGCATATCCCCCCAACCCGCCCAGCCAATGGTCCCATCCCGGCGATGAATTCTTACGAATTCTCGTATCAATGAATTGTCGTTTGCCATCCCCACTCAGTATCATTGCCATTTGATCTCATCTTCCTACTTTCCTGAACCCATCATCCACGAGTGATGTTTTACCCACAAGGACGCGTGTACGCAACGGCTATACAAAGGCACCAACGCGACAGAAGGCCAAAATGTAGAGCCGTTTCATATTAAGAATCCGGACCCACGTAGCTCGGGTTGCCAGCTCCGCATTAAGCCTACTCGCGAATGTTGGGCGGAGGGGGGGGGGGGGGCTGTAGACGCGTACCGCATAGGCATGTGGATCAATGCCGCCAGTCGGCTATGCGGAGAACGCTACGGAAACAAACCGCTGACTCCGACGGCTTTGGGACTGGTTACCAGTCAGTCCAACTGTCGCGTTTGGAGGCGTACTGAAGCGACAACGCCACGCTTGTTCCGCCCCGGAAAATTGGTTCTACTGCGGTCAATCAAAACAACTCCTCAAGTCCAATTGTATATTAAACACTATCGATTCGGGTTCCTCAAACAGCAACTTAACTCTAAGTGAACATGAACCGGCTGGAGAGGAGACCAAGCTGACTGGGCCGGCGGCCGCGGCCGTCACGGCAGGCAACACCGGGAGGGGGCGGGCGGGGCACGGGCGGCGCGGCCGGCCGTACAAAACTAGCGGTGGCTCGGCCGCCACCCTATCACAGGAGGCGGCGGCGCGGGCGGGCCGGAATGTGCGGCGCCCCGGGCGCCAGGTCACGAGCTGAGCCACGGGTGGTGCAGGCAGGCGGCGGCCGACGCACGCCGCTCCGGGTCAAGCGCCAGCATCGGCAGCAGGAAGTCGGCGAATGCCCGCGCCCTCGGCTCCGGCCACTCGTACTTCTCCATCAGCACCTCATGCAGCGCCCACGGCTTCAGCTTGGTGATGTGGCGAAGCTCGCCTGCGGCGGCCAGACACGGAGCGAGGTCAGGAGCAGCACGGCGCCTGGTGGGCGGTCCCAGCCCTGGCCCTGCGTCCCCGCCCTCCGCTCCATGTGCAGAGGAGCCGGGCGATGTTGGCGGAACACACCACGCAGGCGGCTTCCCGTTGGCGTCGTGCGACACGAAATGCGAGTGGCTAGAGCGCGACCTTTGACGAGAGTCCGTACAATACCTCAGACGGGACAAGAACAGGCCAAGCGAGCTGTTGTTCTCCGTCGCAACAGCTCCATCTGACGGAGTGTCCCCCGCCGCCTACCTTTCTTGTTGAAGAAGTCGCGCGAGTATTTGCCGCCAAACATGATGCGCTTGGGTATGTCGCCGGTGAGCTCGATGATGTGCGCGATGTGGTCTTCATCGCGGCTGTAGTTATCGCCCGTGTGCGGCTCGAACAGGTAGTCGCCGGTGGCCAGCTCGAACGCCATGCACGCCGTCGACCAAATGTCGGCCGGCGGCCCGTAGCCGGCGCCCAGCAGCACTTCCAGACAGCGGTACTGACGCGTCTGGATGTCCTCCGTGAAGTGGTGGTGCTGGCGGCGATGGCGGAATGTCATACGCGCAGCCAGAGGACGACGCGGGAGGCGCCGACGGCGCGCCCCCCGCCTGCCACCAGTAAAGCCGTTTCATGCAGTGCTTTGCGAGTTTTGGAGTGCACAATGACTCGCTGTTGCCGCCCCTCCCCGCCCCCCCCCCCCCCTCCCGCAAAACAGTTTGCATCAATGTAAGGTAGCTGATAACTCTAATTCATTTAGAGTTTCAAACCAGTGTGGTGCCTCACTTCTCGCACAGCGAAACACCCCGATCCCCAGGAATAGATGTCAGGCTCTAATACAGGGCAAAAGCTGTAAACTGTTCCGGAGACGCTACCAATCACACCATAGCTTAGTAGTAATTGTACAAATTAGTTGACAAACCAGGCTGCAATATGTATAGCTATACGCAGCTCACGAGTGTACCATTACAGCGCATCGCGGTACGGTCGTGGGTTTGGGGACATCCTGTTCGAACGGTAAACCTCGCCAGCTTTCGGACAGTCGCGCGCAAGCAAGTCATCATCCCTTCAGTCTATCAGCCCCGAAACACTGCCTCCAGTTGCCCCAGTGATCGCGCACAAGCCCAGATCACGCAGACACATGAATGTTAGAGCCACGTGGACATCACCCAGCTCGCGCACAGACACCCACGAGCTTGTCTACACCAGCTCGTATACTGGCCAGCTCGGACGAGCGTTTAGGCCGGCGTTAGATTACGTGAGTGGTGAGCCCACTGGCGGCGCGGTCAGCCGTCGCCTCACCGTCCAGCAAGCGTTGCCCAGGTCGGCCAGCTTGACCTTCATATCGCACACCTCGTTGACTGGATCGGGCCTGCGCGCCTCTCCGGCGGCCGGCGCGGCGTCGGCCGGCGAGTCCACGCCCTTCTCTGCGGGCGCAGGCGCTCATTGCAGGCGTCCAGTGCGGCACGGGCGGCGGAGCACGAGTGGCGGAGCTCGAGCGAACGACCTTCGGCGAAACTTTCAGGCACGCCACACGTGACAACAATGCGAATGTCAGCTGCTACTCCCGACGGGAAACCAGGCGCCGCGGGTCGCGCTGGACTGGCGACACAGGCGGGGCGCCGCGTCTGGCGACGCGCGACACCATTCACCCCAGCCCGGGGCAGCTCGGCGGGGGTAGAGAGACGGGCGGCGGGGACCGACGGGACCGACGGAGGGACGGCGGGGACCGATGGAGGGACGGCGGGGACCGGCGGGACCGACGAGGGGAAGGGGGGGACCGGCGGGACCGACGAGGGGACGGCGGGGACCGGCGGGACCGACGGAGGGACGGCGGAAACCGACGGTACCTCGGCTCGGCACTGCGGCGGACCGGGCCAGTTTGATCCACTCAGAGGACGAGGAGGGCACAGGAACGGAGGGCACCTTCACCTCCTCACCATCTGGCGGAAGTCGGCAGTGATAGGTCACCACTCCCGATCAGTACTGCGTGCTTGATAATGCAACATACTGACTTAGCGGTCAGACCCCCGACCCACCAATAACCAGCAACGCGGCAGCCAGCACTGCCCACGCCCAAGCTGAGTCAGCATCCCTATTTCCAACAATAACGCGGCATGACCTACATCTGATGCAGCCTACTGCCACGTTGAATTGCCACACGCGTCCTTGCGAATAGCTGCCCGGCCCGACGCCCGCGGGGGGAGGGGTGCGGCGGAGACCGACCTTCGTCAACATCGACCCAGGAGGAGTCGAGGTCGTCGTCGGTGGCCACGTTTGAGACGATGACCTCGGTGAGCTCGCGGTCGGCCTCCACACCGTCGCCGTCGCCATCGCCGGCCGGGTCCAGGCCGGACTCGGCCGGGACCGGCACGGGGCCCGGAGCGGCGGGGTCGGGAGAGCCAGCAGCGGCCGCCTCGCCACAGGCTCGGTCAGGAGCACCGCCTGACTCAGCGTCAGGAGAGGTCGGAACGGCCGTCCCGAGCCTCTCACGGGCAGCGGGAGCAGCCCCAAGGTCGGAGGAGACTGGAGCGCCAGGATTAATAGTGTTTGCCACCTCTGTACTGGCAGGACCTGGAGTCGAAGGATCTGGGGCAATGATGGTGTCAGGACACGCTAGGAGTGGCACTCGGCCGTCAAATGCCGACCATCAGATGCGCGCGACGCGATATGTGTCCGGTGATCCCACAGGGAGCAGTGACCGCAGGAACAGATTTCGCGGATAAAGGCAGAACGCACAGGCCCATCCTCCGACTCTTTCTGGATGTGGCGACCAGCCAATGACAATGGCATCGTAATGTACGCGCGGAAATGGTGACAGAAAGCCCATGATAATGTACGCGCCTGTAACAAGCCCAGGGGACATGAATATCTCCCGAGGCCAGCACAGGGACGCCGCCCGCCTGCGTGCCGCCGTCGGATGGCGCTGCCACTGCGGGGCACTGGGGGCCGGCCGGCCGGCGGGCAGGGGGGGGGGGGGGGACCGGCGCCACTCACCGGCGTCCGGCGGTCCGCCGTCGGGGGTAGGCGCCTCCTTGACCGCCGCCGCCGGCGGCTGCTCGCCCGGCGCGCCATGGCCGTTGCACACGTCGTCGGCGACGGGCTCCAGGTCGTACGGCAGCGTGACGGTCTCGCCGGAGACCGAGTGCTGGATCAGCGCCTCCTCCATGTTGGCCAGGCTCTGGCGGTTGGCTGCGGCGCCGGACGCGGACGGTCAGCGGCCACACCCGGCACGGGCCGATGGTCCACCGGGCAGCCCGGTCACGCACGTCACCGGAGCCAGGCCAGCCCGACATCGTACCGGCTCAGACCATCGCCCTCGCTCCGGTCACGCACGTCACCGGAGCCAGGCCAGCCCGACACCGCACCGGCTCAGACCACCGCCCTCGCTCCGGTCACGCACGTCACCGGAGCCAGGCCAGCCCGACACCGCACCGGCTCAGACCACCGCCCTCGCTCCGATCACGCACGTCACCGGAGCCAGGCCAGCCCGACACCGCACCGGCTCAGACCACCGCCCTCGCAGACGGCACGCTGCGAGCCCGTGACCGGCCCCGCGTCTGACATGTGACACAGCTCGGGCCGGCTCCCCGGCCGGCCGTGAAGCAGCTCGTGGACGGCCACTCTGTGCACACGACTGAGATGAAATGATCACGTGACGGGTCAGTGCGCTCTGTCTTTGGCAGTCGCCACTATATCATTTTCTGGCTGCACTGACCAAACAACGGATGTGTGTGTATGGAAAGCTAACTGCAAGACGGGCCACTTAGTAATTGCATGCTCTGTTCGCAAGCGAGGTCGTTCCCTCCCGCAGGCTCCGCGCTTCACTGCCGCTGATTGAGGCGCGGCAGCATACCAATTTTCCTCCCGCTGTAATGACCCGCCGGATATCGAGCGGCACGTGACGTCACACGGAGCAAAACTTTGGCAGGGACGGCGGCAGCCGACCTTGGAGCGAGAGCCCACGGCCTAGGCCAGCGGCGTCGGCCGGATCGCGTACCCAGTTTGGCGGCGTCGCCATTGGCGCCGTCGCCGTTGGCCTGGTCGGGGGCCGGCTGCCTAAGCTCGGGCGGCCGCGGCTCCGGCGGCTGCGGCTCGGCCGACGGCGCTGGCGGGTCGTCGCCGTTCTCGGGCGGCGCCGCCGTCTGCCGCTCGGCCTCGGCCGGCTCGGCCGCCGTCGCCGCCGCCGCCGCCGGCGTCGGCTCGCCGGGCGGCTCCTGGCGCAGCGCCGCCTGCTCCGTCTGCTCACGCTCCCACTGTTCAGTCAGCTCGGCCATCTGCTCCAGACGCTTGGCCTGCTTCTTAGCCTTCTTCTTCAGCCGCTTCTTCTTGTTCTTGGACAGTGTCGAGGGGTCGGGCTGCTGCATGTGTTTGGGAGCCGTGGCCGCTGGAAACGGAGGGGTCGGTTCAAACGGTGGCGTCGAACCCGTGCCAGCTCAGGCTCAGGCTTGAGCCCGGCTCAGGCCCCTGTGACAGGATTTATGGATGCCGTTTGGCCTAAAACCAGCCCTGTCGGTGGGCTCAAGGGCTAGAGAAGTTAATGCTCAGATAAATGAGAATGCCGACAGGTTGGGGGAAAACTCCTTTTCCCCTCTGCTGACCAGCGAGAAAATCACCCATCGGCAACTCTCGAAGCATTTCTGTCGGCCAAATGCAAAAGGCACTTCATTAAGACACGACGGAACACATAGTTTGTTGCCTCTGGACGCCAGAGGAGCCGATGTGGAGCGAGCAGCGATCCGCAGCTGCGGAGCGAGAATGACCCGCCCTGCCCACACGGCTCCACCGGCCGCAGGGCGGCGTCACCGGCCGCGCTCCACTCACTGAACGAGCCCGGCAGCTTGAGGCCGAGCTTCTGCCAGTGGGCGGCCTCGGCGGCCAGCCGGCGCACGTGCGCCTCGTCCACACACAGCAGCACGTTCTCGGGCTTAATGTCCGTATGAATGATTTGACACTTGGTGTGCAGGTAGTCGAGGGCCTCCAGCACCTGCCGGCGGGGGTAGGGGTCGGGGGCGGGGGCGTGAGAGAGGACGGGGGCGGCCCGGCGACCAGGGCCCGGCGGCGTCCGCACGGCGTCACGCTAGACTGCGTCAGCGGGTGTCGGCCGTCAGCGGTGTGTCGCTACCACACCGGCCAGCCGTCAGACAGACCTGAGTCAGCCGCTAACACAACGCCAGCCGAGCGTTTATCAATCAATAACGGCACGTCGGGCTGGCTCCCGGCCCGCGTTCACCAAAGGTCAGCCCCACGTCCGCCAGATGCCGGTCGCGTGTCAACCGCACCGGCTATTGGTCACCGCCCCCGCGCCGGTCAGGGCCCGCCGGCCCCAGCGCCGGCCGCCGCGCTCACCTGCTTGATGATGGACCTGACGTTCTCCAGCGGAATGCCCTGGTAGTTGCTGCGGATGATGAGCTTCAGCAGGTTGTGGCCCAGCACCTCGAATACCATGCAGACGTGCGTGCCGTTGACGCCGTTGATCTTGAAGTCGTCCAGCAGCTGGACGGTGCCCTCACGGAACGGGTCGGCCTCGTCGCTGTCCCGCACCTGTGGCCAGCGAGGCACCGCCGCCGGCTGCAGACCACGCCTCCACGCACCACACGGCCGCCAGCACACGGCACGCCTCCGTGATGGATGGCAACGCGGCGACTGACAGCATACGTTCTCGACGCCTACCTAGCCGCAAGGCATACCGGCTTGATCAACAAACTCAGAGCAGTTCACTCCACTGCGTGTCAGCGTGCCAATTATTGTCAAGTGCATTTCAGATTGATCACAAATGCCGCTGATCCCATCCAGCGTGATTTGCACTGCAGATGAGGACATGGACACGACTAGTAAAATTCAGCACAGGAAACGGTGAATCCTGATACATTTACAGGCGCGAATGCAGGTATAACAATGAAACCACAAGTGTGGTGGAAGAGTCGCGGTGCATCAAAATTCGCGTTATCCGAAAAAATATATCAAGTGAGCGTACAACAGCATGCCCTCATGAAACCACGTGACTGCTTCGCAGCGAAACGGCACTCAACAAGTGATTTTTAGCTCTAAGCTGCGGGGAGCATATTTAGAGAGTGCTCAGACATATCCGGGGTTTTGCCCTGGACAGTCAGATTGTAGTTCGCTGCCGTTACCATAGATGGCGCGGCCCGCAATGACAATGGTATTTACCCCCTCAAGTCCCTGTCAACACAACTACTTATCCGACTGTCCTTCCTAAAAAGCCTTCGAAAAAGTGTTGCAAGCTTGGCACTTGATGGAAGTATCACAAGCGCTGGCCCACGACGACGATTGAAGTCAATTCCCTTCGTTATCTGATGTGTGAATTCAGTACACCTTGTGACGGTTGATGATGTGTTAGAGGCAATGGTGTGTCAGTGGCATATCAGCCCGTCTTTTACTGTAGTTGAACGTTGGCGATGTATTGTAGTTTGCTACTCCAGCATTAGAGCATCAGCACTGTCGAGTCATTCCACGACACGTGGGACACCCAGCGGGTATTAGCCTCACAAATATGCGGCCGACCAGCGGTCGGTGAGACCTGACCCACTCCGCCACTGGCCACACGGACGGCCGACTGCAGCGGGGGGACGACATGGCAGCGGTCGGTGAGACCTGACCCACTCCGCCACTGGCCACACGGACGGCCGACTGCAGCGGGAGGACGACATGGCAGCGGTCGGTGAGACCTGACCCACTCCGCCACTGGCCACACGGACGGCCGACTGCAGCGGGAGGACGACATGGCAGCGGTCGGTGAGACCTGACCCACTCCGCCACTGGCCACACGGACGGCCGACTGCAGCGGGAGGACGACATGACAGCGGTCGGTGAGACCTGACCCACTCCACCATTGGCCACACGGACGGCCGACTGCAGCGGGAGGACGACATGACAGCGGTCGGTGAGACCTGACCCACTCCGCCACTGGCCACACGGACGCGGCCACGAGCACCAGGTATGCCAAGACGCAGGCGAACAGCGAGCTCCCCTAAGCCAGTCTCACCACAGCGATACCAACAGGCCTCGCTCAAAGTCTCCATTCGATGTAACCTGGGCAAGCGTTCGTAAAATTCTGTGCAAACCACTGAAACACATCACCTCTTAACGGTTAACTACCAAGCGCAACTTGCCATCCAGTACAGGCTATCGGACATTACGTTGCTGATTGAGTCATGTCGCACCTCCCCGGGGAGGCGGCGCCACGCCCATCTGCTGACGAGGCGTCCGAGCCGACCTGAGCGCCCGGTCGCGCCGCGGCCGCCCCTCTCCCACACCGGCCGCCGCCGGCCGTCCAAATCACGCTCACCCCGCCACAATGAGGCAACCTTAGGCGTCCTGACGGCGCCATTGATCGTGCATGGATCTGGTGCGGCGTTGCCATACCGAGCCTGCACACAAGGCCGACGGCCGTGCACGAGGGCGCCGCGGCGAGTACGGCCTCGCCACCACTGGCAGGCGGCGGCGGTGACGGTGGCTGGATGGCGCTGGAAGCGAAATCACAAAGGCTGTCGACCGTTACATCGGTATTACTGCAACTCTTGGGGGAAACCACCATTACAGACTGCTGCAGGAGGTTAGTTACTTGGATCCTCCCGGCGGTCCCGGTGGTGAGAGCAAATACGAAAGTGTGATAGCGGTGTGGTACGCCCAGTCGGGCCGGACGCGTCGCGCTACTTTGAGCTGGGCCGGGCTGGGCCGGGCGCCAACTGCGTCACGCCGTCAGGCGGGCGTGGCGGCCGGTGACCGGGAAACGGGGAGCCGGGGAGCCGGGGAGCCGGTCCCGACTCCGGTCACCAGCCGCGGCGCCCCGAGGCCAGCTAGCTGGTCCCGGGCGGCGAGGCGCCCTGGGTGGCCGCCTCGGGCCGGCCCGGGATCGATCCGACCAACACAGCGCCGGCCGACTTCGACCACGACCCCCGCCCTCCCTCCGGCCCCGCCCTCCAGCCCCACCCCCAACCCGGCCAGTAGGGCCAGCTGGGCGGCCCGTACTGGTGGCGGCAGAAGCGCCGGTATACCGTTCAGGCTGTAGTAGTCGCAACGGGACCACGCCATCGCACTTGTCCCGACAACAAGTGACCACCGCAGCCTCGTCACCCACCGGCCGAGCGGCCAACGGGCGGCGGCCGCCAGTGACCAGCGCCTCGCCTCGCCCCCGCCCGGCCGGGCCCGGCGCGCCGCTGGCTGCGGCCGGCCGCGTCCGCCCCACACGGCCGTGTGTGGGCTGACGGGGCTGCTCGGCGCCGGATGCAGCGACCGCCGTAGGTCCCGGCCGGGTCACCGCACCGGCGCGTCAGACTCCCACCGGCCCCGCGCGACCCGCTCTGACTGGCGCGCGCTCGGGCGGGAGATGGCCCATCCATGCGTGGGACCAGTATGGCCAGCAGCAACGCGACCTCTAGCGCTAGATGCTGAGGACGAACGGTGGAGTGCTAACGCCATGCGCGGTGCTCGAAGCCGAATGTCCTGATCTACAATACGACCCAAGACCAATGACGTCACGCGTTCGTGACAGCCACTGAGCGCGCGCCGCCGCCGCCGGGCGGCCGGCTGTGACGGCTTCTCTCCAGCCCGCCACCCCCACGCGTCTGGAGGGGACAGGCCCAGTAACGTCAAGACGCGGTGACGGGGTCAGCTCGGTGTGGGGCGGGCAGCGGCGTTCCCACTACTCACACATTTCAGCAGCTTGATCTCGTCCAGAGCCGTCTCTGTGTAGTGGCAGGCACTCTTCACCACCTTCATCGCCACGAACCGCTTGTCCCTGAAACATTACCGTCCGTCAGAGCCGCGGCCAGACGGCCATTCATCCGGGCCAGGCAGATGTGATGAACGACATGGCCGACCGACGGAGTACCTCCCGGCAAATGAACTAATAATCAAACCACGCGCATGATGAGGCCCCAGCGAGCCGTGATGTTTTCCCATTGCTAATAGGCTTACGGAGGAGCAATGAATGTTTTTTTGCTACGACGCACATCATATCGGAGCTACAACCAACACAAGCTCGCTTCGTGGCCGACAACTTTGAGGACATTCGCACCGTTTGTCATCAACGTTTATAATCCGCCCTCATGACCGGCGCTGCGTTTTTTTTTTTTGAGAAGGCGTGAGTTCTGAGATAGAGATTATTTTCAAATGTAAAACGGTAAGCACTTAATGTAACTGTTCAAAAGTGGTATCAGCCAAACGTAATGTCAGCTCCATGTAAGAACAGTTATATTGGCTTTGTTCCGACGACAAAGTGAATGATAGACATATCTATATTTTGGCCACAACCCTTTGTCGAAACGATACTTGTATGAGCAGTAAATTTAATCGATGCAACTTCCTCGTCTGAAGAAACGCCTGTGACGAGACGAGCTGACAGACACTGCAAATGCTAAAAAAGAAAAACTAACTCATTGAGGCAGGATTTCTCTAAAACTTCAAATCAAGAAATATCGAGGGCATGTCGAAGCCTCAAACTAAACGACACACGTGCATGAAGATGGAAAATATGCGATGAAAACCGCGACGGCCGCATATAGGGTGGAAAGTCGCTATTGTCTGCTACAGCGCATACCGAACGTCCCAGCAGAGCACGTACCGTATGTCCCAGCAGAGCCAGACGGTGGAGAAGTGTCCCCAGCCGAGCTTGCGGATGACGTGGTAGCGCCCGTGGAACATGTCGCCGATGCGTACCGGGTGGTATCCACCTGCCGAGACCCATAGCCATGTCACGGACCATGGCAGGAGTGCGGCCGCGGCACGACGGACGCCCGGGCCCCGGCCCCGGCACGGCGGGGCTCGCGGCCCGCCAGACAGCACACAGAGTACGGCAACGGCACGGCGGGCGCCCGGGCCCCGGCCCCAGCACGGCGGGGCTCGCGGCCTACCAGACAGCACACAGAGTACGGCCACGGCGCGGCAGGCGCCCGGGCCCCGGCCCAGGCATGGCGGGGCTCGCGGCCCGCCAGACAGCACACAGAGTACCGCCACGGCACGGCGGGCGCCCGGGCCTCGGCCCCGGCACGGCGGGGCTCGCGGCCCGCCAGACAGCACACAGAGTACGGCCACGGCGCGGCAGGCGCCCGGGCCCCGGCCCGGGCACGGCAGGCGCCCGGGCGTCGGCCCCGGCACGACGGGGCTCGCAGCCTGCTAGACGGCACACAGAGTGCGGCCGACACGACGCAGGGCTGGGCGGCAGCCATCTGCATCGGGCAGACATTTCGCAGGTGCAAAGGCGAAGGCCATGTTTCCAAGCACACGCGCAGGTCGCGTTTCTAAGGGGACTTGATAGAACTTCCATACTATCTAACACCAGCCCACAGCGTCCTAACTAGCGAGCCACCTGTATGACATCATCCACGATAAACCGAGTGACGACGGAGTACACAATACGCGAACATCAGCGCGTTGGCACCAAGACTGATCGCAGACTGCCCCGAGATGGGAGCCGGTCTGACAGCGCTGCTCCCTTCTCGTTGACCCCGCGCCGGCCGGCCGCGACACCACACATGGCACCGGCAGCTGGGGACATCCCGCGGCACCCACCCCCGGCTAACTGGAGACGCAGAGTGGCCCATACGGCACGGTTTGTCGGCAGCACACACAGGACCGCCAGCGCTGCGTGCGGACGCCGGGCCAGCCCGGTGTCGGACCGTTTGTTGGCGTGATGGCCAACAGCTGGCGCCGATCGGGCCGCCGATCGGCCGCACACCGACCACAGCGCGGTCCGAGAGCCCAGGCTAATCGAATGGCGTCCCTTCTCGCCCTGAATGGCTGAAATGACTCGCCGCCACTGGGCGGCTGGAGCCGGCGGTCGGGCGCGGCGCGCGCCGGCCGTCGGCTCCGGGGCCGCAACACCCTCCGACACGACCCGCGGCCCGGCCGTGCTCAGCACCCGCGACCCGCCGCTTCACCGGGCGACTCTGAGAACGACCGGCCGGCGACATGCGGTCGGCGCGAGCCGGTCCCCTAGGAGCCGCTCTGGCCGGGGCGGCCGCTCTGGTGCCGCGGTCGGGGACAGCGGGCCTCTGCAGGCGCCACTACACACGCAGTCACGGGTCCGCGCCTGGCGTCACCGTCAGCGGCCAAATGTCAGAGGGTCGTGCTGATAGTGTGGCGGGCCATTGTGCGAGCGTCGGGACCGGGCCCCTGACCCGGAGTCCCGTCGAGTTCGTGCAGGAGCCTGCGGTCTGCGCTGGGATCATGTGGACGGGGTCTGTGCTAAGTCGGAGGTGCAGTCGTGGGCCAGGCGTCTGCCAGCGTCGGGTGTTCGCAGCCTGCGCCAGTACGCCGCTGGCCGCACTTGGTCAGCCGGCCGTCCGCCACAGCAGGCCTCTGACCGGCGCCGACCCAGCAGGGCCACACGACGGGCGGCCGGGATCGGCGCCCCGGCAGCAGCGGCGTACCATGACAGGCCGAGACGACGCGGCCGACCGGCCGGAGCCGCCCCGGCGCCCGTCTCTGGAGACACCGGGAGCGCGCCCGTCGGACGGACCGATGCCGACCCGAGCGCGGTCAGGAGCCCGGGGTGGCGCCGCGGCCCGTTCAGGGGCGGGGAGGGCGACCGGGGCCGGCTCCAGATCGATACGGCCGTGCGGTGGCCGGGCGAGCCCGGCCCGGCGGCGAGCGGACTGCGAACACTCGGCGCCGCGCCGCCTGCGGCCCGAGGTCACATACGCGCCGGGAGCCGGTGCCCCCCCCCCCCCCGGCGCCAGGCACGGCGCGGTTGCGTGCCGGGCCGAACGGTGCTGCCGGACATTAGCCGCCGGTCGCGGCCGCTGATGTATGCGCGGCCGCTGATATATGCAGAGCTGAGGTCGCCGCCGCTGATGTATGCAAGGCGGATTGCTGGCTGAGGCTGGCCGGCCCGAATGAACCGATGTGTCCACAGCGCAGGGCGCGGCTGTCCTCACGACGCAGACGCGGGGGACGGATGGCCCGACAGAGTCACCGGCCCAGCAGTCATCGACTCAACAAGATCACCGCCCCAGCAGTGCCATCGGCCAAGCAGTCACCGGCCCAGCGGTCACCAGCAGTCACCAGTCACAGAGTCGCCGGCCCACCAGAGTCGCCCGCTTGCCAGTCGCGACGCTCTCGATTGGAAGGCGGCGTTGGTGGCATCATGAGGACGGAATGTGTCATCGGGCGAGCCGTCTGCAGCGGAACAGGGCCTCCGAACAGCCAGCGCAGCTGACTCATCCGGTCCCGACAGCACGTCCCAGAGTGGCGCTATAACTTCACATGAGATGAATGGACATCAACTATTGGCGAAATGTTCAACAGTAACTACATTATTTGAATTGATTAAAATTTTGTCAAAAAGCTGTCAGGACGTGAAGGATGTGCTGCGTCGAAATGATGACCTAAGTCTAGCATCGTTTCGCTGACATTCTAGGACATAACCTTGCCTTGAACATGATGATGACGTATAAATCGCTGCGAAATCAACTGATGCGGTTGCCAGTTTTTTTTAGAGGAAGCTCGCTTTCGGTGCGTGACAAAGCGCAAGAGTTTTTCAAATGCTATGTAAATTATTGTCCTCATTTAACATCGCACGCATAATCACGTTGATTCTCAAATGTCGTGGCGCTCAATGAACTACGTCGCATGCTACGTTCGATGAACCCCAAACATTTGTGCGCCGTTCCAGCCTCCTGCCGCCGCGGGTAGGAGGCCCTCCGGCTCGGCGTACCGGGCTCCAGGGCGGGCGGCGCGGCGTGCCGGGCTCCAGGGCGGGCCTGGCGCCCGGGACTGCGCCGCCCGGCGCGACCGGCCGCCGGCCGAGCGGCGTCATCGGAGCGGCAGCCATCAGCGGCCATCAGTGGCCGACAGCGACCGTCCGAGAGCCCCTCGGACAGCGGCGCATCCATCAGCGGCGAGCGGCCCGGCCGGCGCCGACGCCCCGTGGCTCGCCACACATCTCGGCCGACAGCCCTCGCGCGGGCGCACGCCGCTCCCCAAACAATCACTTTGGCAAATAGAGCAAACACAAACATAGGACATTCAGCACTCAACCTGTGCCGCGTTCTGTTTCATTCCGACAATATCAAGATGTTCTGACAATGGCACACCTGAAAACCCCTAAATGCACTCCAAAGACGTATTCCGCCAGTGGTGGGCACCTCTGTCGACCAGAGCGTGTAATAAGAGGCATAGCGACAGCGTAGTCCTCTACCCGCCCTGTGCCGTCTCCTGGTCCATCCCGCCGACCCGGCTCGGTACGCACAGCCGCGGCGCGACGCCCCGTCGGGCGGCGCCGCCCATATGTCCGCCCCACCGACCCGCGCCCGCTGAGCACCGATTCCCGAACCTCGACATCGCCTGCGGCTCCGGATGACTCGGGCACGGACCGGCGCTGAGGGGAGAGTGGCAAGTCAGCGCCGGTCCGCAGTCCAGAGCATCTCCCTGACCCCGGCCCAGCGGCTCCCGGGCACGGACCGGCGCCGAGGGGAGGGTGGCAAGTCAGCGCCGGTCTGCAGTCCAGAGCATCTCCCTGACCCCGGCCCAGCGGCTCCCGGGCACGGACCGGCGCCGAGGGGAGAGTGGCAAGTCAGCGCCGGTCTGCAGTCCAGAGCATCTCCCTGACTCCGGCCCAGCGGCTCCCGGGCACGGTGGCAGCCGCCTGGCAGGCAGCCCGAGCCCACAATTTTCCACCCCGACTCAGCCTCCCCCTCACCGCAGGCAGGTGGTGCCTGTTGACAGAGGGGAGCCCCGACGAGGACGTACCTGGTTTGTAGTCGGACGGCGCCTCCTGCTCGTCGTCGTCGGAGCCGCGGATCTCCTCCTCGTCCTCCTCGTCCTCGGGCTCCTCATCATCGTCACTGGGGGCGCTGTCCTTCTCCGAGGCGCTCGTCTCCGTCCGGGACGACTCGGTCCTGCCGGGGTCACGGTCCGGGTCAGCTAGATGTGACCCATGTGACCCCGAGTCAGGGTCCTGGTCGGCTAGGTGTGACCTTAAGTCAGTCCGGGGCGCCGGGGTGCCGGGTCAGGGTCCGGGTTGTCTAGGTGTGACCTCGGGTCAGGTCCGGGCGTCGGGATGCTGGGGTCAGCGGGCGGGCCAGTCGGGAGGGACCTCGAGTCTGGGCGCTGGGAGGTTCAGGTCAGCGGATCAGAACTTCCCCCGGACAACGAAGCCGTTGCCATCACAGTCACTAGTCACAACACTTCCGACCGCGTTACGGCTTGTTCCGGACCCCGAGCCTGAGCCTGAATCACGCAACCTGCTCGCGCGCGGCCCATCCACAAACGCGTCACGCACCGCTCCTGCAAGCTGACACTCAGGCGGACCGGCGCCCTCACACTAAAAACCCCCACCGACGAAGAGATAACCGCTCGCTGCGCTGTGCGGACGGCGCTACGCCACGAGCGCACGGCGGCGTGCTTAACCCTGGCCAGCCACCCGCCAGCTCTCGGCCCGTCCGAGCAGACGTTACGCGCTCGCCGCCTCCTCTGAGCCGAAGCTCGTGCGCGGGAGGCAGCATACTGACAGGCAATGCTGTCCTGGCTTCCGTAGCGGAGCAGCATGCTGCTTGACAGGCAACGCAGGCCTGGTTTCTGCAACGGAGCAGCATGCTGCCTGACAGGCAACGCTGGCCTGGTTTCTGCAGCAGAGCAGCATGCTGTTTGACGGTCAGCGCTGGCCTGGCTTCTGCAGCGGAGCAGCATGCTGCTTGACAGGCAACGCTGGCCTGGCTTCCGCAGCGGAGCAGCATGCTGCCCTGGCTTCTACGGCGGAAGAGAACGCTGCTTGACAGACAACGCTGCTGCCTGTCTTCGGCAGCCCTGCTGCCAAGTACGATTCAGTGGACGCCAAAGGCTTCCAGGGGCGTCACACGCACCAACGACCGTCTGCTACGGGTACAGTTCGGCTGTGCACACAGAAGCGCGCTGACATGTGCCAGTAACCTGCGCGCTGACCTCGGCACGAGATCCGCCGACTGGGTGAGCTGTGTGGAATCAAGCCCGCTCCACGGGCCGTACACGCATATCGGTATCAAAACACCGGGCCAATGGCAGCCTGACCACTGGGGCGTCGTATGAATGCGGTGTACTCAGAAGCCTCGCGGCATCGGAGCAATAGCGCGTTCCGAGCACCTATAGGAGAGAAGACCGCCGCCCTCACAACACACCCCGTCCCAGCCTGACGTCATATGTGAGCGTTGCGCTGGCGTGATTCCCTTTTGAGTATTCACTTCGCTGGAGCGGCAGCGAAGCTGCGGAGCCTTCACGGCGCCGTCTGTCGCCGTTCCCTGCGCGCACCGGTCCATATGAGGTCGTCGTTACCGACCGCTGCCGAATGGGAGGCCGGCAGTGGAGCCGCGCCGACGCCGGCCCGCACCGGCTGAGAACCACACCGGTGCTCAGAGGCCGGGGGACGAGCCACGCCGATACCGGCTGAGGACCACACCGGTGCTCAGAGGCCGGGGGACGAGCCACGCCGATACCGGCTGAGGACCACACCGGTGCTCAGAGGCCGGGGGACGAGCCGCGCCGATACCGGCTGAGGACCACGCCGGTGCTCAGAGGCCGGGGGACGAGCCGCGCCGATACCGGCTGAGGACCACACCGGTGCTCAGAGGCCGGGGGACGAGCCACGCCGATACCGGCTGAGGACCATACCGGTGCTCAGAGGCCGGGGGACGAGCCACGCCGATACCGGCTGAGGACCACACCGGTGCTCAGAGGCTGGGGGTCGAGCTGCCGGCCCCAGCCAGCCACCGACGGCGACGGCGGCTGGTTCCGACGGCCGGACACCATCTCACCTCGGCCTCCTCTTCTGCCTGCGCCGTCGCCTCCAGCCAGGCGACAACGCCTGCCGGACGGAGCCGACCTGGGCCGGCCACAGCAGCGCCATCAGCCGGGCCAGCAGGCTGACCAGCGGCGGCGGTAGCAGGCCCCAGGACATGACCGGCGCTGGGTGGCGCCGGGCGGCGGCTGGCCGGCGGGGCGCCCGGCCGCCGGCCGGCCATGATAAGGTCACAGGTGTCAGTCGGCTGGTGAGGGGCCGGCCGCACAGGCGCCGGGCCCCTCGCCGGCCGGAAGGCTCCGGCAGCGGCACACGTCAGCGCGCGGGTCGACTGCCGCTCGGCACGTTTGTGGCTCGCAACACGTGCGGGATGACATAGGGTTTGCACCAGCTGATGGTCTATGTTTGTTGTTATTTATGGCTGGTTCGTGGTTTGTGGTTGAGGAGTAGCAATACGAGTAGAAGGGATAAGATAAACAGTGGGAGCAGGGGCACGATAATCATCAGCAGCAGCAGCATGATCGGTTGATGACTAGCGGCACGGCAGATATGACTTGTGCAGGCAGTTCCGCCCTCAGGGCGCGCCACTCAAATTCTGAGAATACGGAATTATGAAGGGCTCAACAGCGTACAGAGACCCGGCGGACAGAGCAAGGACGCAAAATTACATGCCAATATGCGGTAACTGAGGAAGCAATCACAGCCCAGTTCATCCCTGCTGTCCAATCCCGACCAAAACCTGTTCGTCTCACCGCCACCTTACTGGCAACACGTGCAGGCCGCCACCGGTCTTGGCACTTACTCCCTTCAATCACAAACAAAAATAGCATTAAAGCCGGCGTAAAAGCAATCTTCTCAGCCACCAAACAAAACATTCTTCTATGAATCAAAGCAATGACTGTGAAGCTGTCTACTGGGATGCTCCATGCGAGATCAAAGTTCCGGCTCGATCAAACGGCAGCTGCCAACCTTCGCCCCGACAGTCATCACACGAGTCACGGCCTGCAGGCACGGAGAGCGAGTCGGCCATAGGCTCCGTTCACGCAAGCCTTGTTTACATTCGCGGGGTTGTTTGGCTTCCTGGTCAACGACTTCGCATAATGAGTTGGGAGTTGTTATTCTGGAACTAATCAACCTTCATTTGACAAGGAAGTGTTGGTAAGGAACGTGATCAAGTACCGCGGTTGAACTGGAGAAAAAAAAAATTGAAAACAGCATTGAGAGTTCTCTCTCAATACAACCAACGTATGCTTGATAACAATAAAAAACTGGAGCTCTGCGCCTTTCTTACCTGTTTAGGCTACAGTCTGACTTAGCATTCCCCGGTTTGGCGCCGGAGTGCCGGGCGGCATAGTGACGCCACACGAGCCGGCCACTGCAAGCTTATTTGCAGACCCAAGGCCGCCCGACGCCCCGTATAAACAGGCGGCGGAGCGACACCGCTGGCGCGCGGTCTGGCAGTCATGTCTGCCCCGCCGACCCATGGCCGTCACCCGGCCTAATCCGGACCCCGAGCTCAACAGATCACGTCACCGGAGCACGCCGGTCAGCGGCCTGGTGCGCCCTGCGTCGGCCGGCGGAGCGACGGCGCCCAGGGCGCGGCTCCTCGACGGACGGCGCCGCTGGAGCTGTGCAGCCGGCCGCGGAAGCCCCTGGCGCCGCCTGATTCGGCGCCGGGTGCGGCTTCCCACTGAGCACGCGCCCGGCAAGGCCGGCCGGGATCAGTGGGCCAGCCAGCCACCACGACGGGCCGCCCCGGCGCTGCCTCCTTACCAGGCCAGCCACTCGCGCCCGCTCGTGGCACGGTGACTCACTCATTCCAGCGCGCAACACAGCCGGCCGTCCCAGCGCACCCGCGCTGGCCAGCTTACACCTGGCATCTGGCTGTACACAGCCGCTGAAACATGCCATTACCAGCCCTTCATCGCCGGCTCATCGACGAGCGTCGACGGCTGCGGCGGTGACCCTCCACCTCAGTCCAGGCCGGGGACGCCTCCCCATTCGGGTCAGCGCGGTGCCGTCCCTCGCCGGCTGTGAGGTCCCGCCCCGGGGCACCGCGGGCCAGCTGACAGATGCGACCACCGCCCACGGCTATAATTGGGCTGCTAGCGCGGTAGTTGGCGTGCGGCCGAGCGGCGCCGGAGGCGCTCGGTCACGGTCACGACTGTCGGCCCCCATCAGCTGGTCAGCCTTCCAGCGTCCCGTCAGGGGGGGGGGGGCTCCGTCTGCCGAGCGGCGCCGGAGGCGCTCGGTCACGGCCACGACTGTCGGCCCCCATCAGCTGCTCAGCCCTCCAGCGTCCCGTCAGGGCTCCGTCTGCCGAGCGGCACCGGAAGCGCTCGGTCACGGCCACGACTGTCGGCCCCCATCAGCTGCTCAGCCCTCCAGCGTCCCGTCAGGGCTCCGTCTGCCGAGCGGCACCGGAAGCGCTCGGTCACGGTCACGACTGTCGGCCCCCATCAGCTGCTCAGCCCTCCAGCGTCCCGTCAGGGCTCCGTCTGCCCTCCCCGAACCGATATGGGCCACCCTCTCCCGGGCTTCCTCGGCTTAAGTCAACCCCAAGCAAAACATAGCCGTAGTCCGAGCCCTGTCACTGGCTTGTGTTGCGTCAAAGCAGCTTGTCAGTCCTCAGCGTCGCAGTTGCGACCACCATCACTTTTCAGGGTCGCAGCCATGACTCGAGTCGCTCCTCAGGTCACATTTTCGACCCGAGTCGGTCTCCATTCAGCTGTGCAGCTGGCTGCTGGGGTCCGCCCGCCGTTTCCTAGTTGCAGTCCCAGCCAGCGTTCAGCGCGCCAGCTGTGGCTCTGACAAGAACTCTGATGTCGTGTCGGAGACTGGAGTCGGGGCCGGGCGCGGGGCGCTCCGGCTCTCCGGCCTCAACACCGCCTGAGCCGGCGACCACGATCTCGCCCGGTGACGACTCTGACGCCAAGACCCGGCGCCGAGACTCGGCGTTCGCCGCCGCGTGGCGCGGCCTGACAAAGGCTGGAGCCGGTGGTGGGCGAGGCGGCGGCGTCGATGCGTGTATCGACCGCCGCGGCCGGCCTCGTCGATGCGCCGGGAGGCTGGTCGGCCGGCCGACCAACCGTAACGGGACGCACAGCGGAGGCCGGCTCCCCGGCCGGCCACCGTCTCGTCTCTCGACCGATCACAGCCGGCCGGCGCCCCTCCACCGGTGCCGGACAAAACGCCCCGACCTACAAGACGGCCGTGGGGCGATCTTCCATCAGCGGAGCGCTCGGGACTGGCGCCGGAGCTTGGGCGCGTGGCGCACCAGGACTGGTCCTCAATCCCTCCGCAAACGAGCGGGGAACACCCCAGCCAGAGAGAGCCAGACCAGCGCGGCCGGGATCGCCGGCTTTGGCTGACAGAGTAAAGTACACGACAATGGCGATCCCACAGAAGACAGCGGGTGGCCGCTCTGTCTCTCTCTCTCTCTCTCTCTCTCTCTCTCTACTGAGTGCGGAGCGAGGACGACGCCGGTGCGGTGAGGAAGACCCGGCCCATTCAGCGCAGCGGCTGATCCCTCCGAGAAGTGGCGCCCTCAACGACTCACATCTCATTACCGGCGACAGACGGCCGTCGCAGCCGCGCCGGCGCCCAATCATCGCCGGCTGCGCGCCGCCTTCCAAGCCTGGACGGATGCTGACGAGCGGCGGGGCGCGGCTTGAGCGGCGTCAACAGGGCCGCTGGCGCGCCTCCAGACGGCTGGCCGCCCTCCGAATCGGGCGTCCGGCGCGCGCCCCCGGCCGCGCGCCGACCTCATGAGTGCTGTGGCCGGGCGCAACAGTGCGCTCGTGTGTGACGCCCGGGACCGGCGCCGAAGCGCCGACAATGAAGCCGGCGCGGCGGGCCACCGCCCGACCACCGCCGCACAAAGCCGGAGGTGAAACGCGGCACGCGTAAAAACCCGACGGGCATCAGCATTCCGGGCGAGCTTGTCATTAGCACACACGGAAGTCACGGACTGCGGGGCAAATGAGCCGTTCGTGGACGGCCGGCGGGCGGCGAGCCAGAACGATGCATTGATAAAGGCGGCGGCGCCACGCGCGACACACGCGGATCACCGTGTGACCAGTGGTCATAACTCGTCCCCGGACTGAGCGCTTGATGTGAGCACAGCACAGCTGAGCTACAAACCAAGCGGACGTTGCATGGCGGGACTAGCCAGTCGTGCGTTCACGCCGCTTACAGCCCTACAATTGCGGCACGTGGCCGCACGCTAGGGGTGAGGTCGTGCGCCGGTGGCGGCGCGCGTGCTGTACCTGCCGACCGTGGCCAGGATCTCGTCGAGCACGTCGTCGCGCAGGCCCCGCCCGACGCTGACCACCTGGGCCAGCTCCTGGTCCAGCGACAGCTCGTCCACGTCGAGTAGATCGCAGTCGGTGCTGGCCGCTTCGGAAGCCGGTTCGGCGCCTCGCTCGGCCGGCGAGGCGCACTCCTCCGCCGGCGGCCAGTCGGCGCACGAGGTGAACGGCTCGGAGGCGGACGAGTCGTCCGCAGTGGCAGCGGCGGTGGCGGCGGCGGCCGGCCGGGCGCGTCGCGGTGGCCCCGGCCGGCCGTAGGCGTCGGCGCAGCAGCGCGGGATGACGGCGGCCGGCTGGTGGTCCGCGGTCGGCCGAGCGCACACTGGCGGCGGTGGCCGCGGCGGCCGCGCTGGATCGATGCAAGGCGCGCAGCCGGCCGCGTGCCCGGCTCCGGCGGGTCCCGACCGCACCGCGGGCGACGCACCGCCGTCGGCGACCACACCCCGACCGGAGGCCGCACTCACCGGCCTTTCCGACTCACAGCTGATCATCGGCGGCGCCACACATGTGCTGGCCGCCCGACCGTCGGCGACCGCCGGCCGGCCGATCAGCTGATCGGCCTCGTCAGGCGTCGTACGGCCGGCCGGCGGCTCCGCGGCCGCGGGGCCCGCCTCCGGGGCCGCAACACCCGACACCGGCCGCTGGCCTGGCTCGGAGGCCCCGCTCGGAGGCGCGCTATCACGTGTCTCGGCCGCAGAGTATGGCGTCGGTCTGCGACACGCCTCGGCCTCAGAGTCCGCCGACGACAGCCGTTCGCTCACCGCCGCTGCAGTCCCAGGATCCGGCCGCTCTCCCTCGGCCGCAGGCTCGCAGGAGGCCAGGTCACTGATGTCCGGCGGCGGGAGACAGCGCGCCTCCCCCACTGCCGCCGGCCGGAGCGCACACTGTCCGACCTCGGGGCGCAGACCGCGCACGGCGCACGTGATGACGTCGCGCACCAGCCTCTCGGCGTACTGGACGAGCGCCGGCTCGCAGTCTGACCGGCGGCGGGCGGGGGCGGGCGAGGGGCGCGGGCGCGGGGCGGCGCCATGGCCGGACCGGCAGCGGGCCGGGCCGGCGCGGCGGGCGTGCTCCGTCGACTGGCGGTCGGCCGACCGGGCCGCCCGGCCGGCGCGCCGGCCCGGCCGCCAGCCAGCGCCGCCTCCAGCAGCCGCAGCGCCAGCTCGGCAGCCGCGGCGGCCACGGCCAGCACGGCGGCCGTGGCCAGCACGGCAGCCAGCGCCGGCCAGGGCGGCAGCATCGCGGCGGACCGCGCCGCGAATGGCGTCAGTCGCGCGGCGGCGACGGCGCCGCGGCTGGAGCGTCGCCAGCCGGCCGCCGCCGCCACCCCGGTCGCACATTGGCCCGCCGGGCGCCGCTGGACCCGCAGCACGGCCGTCAGCCGGCCGAAATAGCCGGGCGCGCGGACGTCAGCCGCCGTGCTCGCGTCGGTCGCGTCGCCCCGCCGCCGGCGACGCAAGGTCAGGCGGCCGCCGCCGGCGCGCGCTCACACGGCCGCCGGCTCCGGCGTCGCTCGGCAGACAACAGCGACGTGCGAGCACGCAGCCTCCGGCCACGTCGTCACCGCCCCAGCGTAAATGCGCCGCCCAATAGAACCAGCTCTGTCCGTTTCTAACTCACAAGAACCGCGCCATCCATAAACAGGGCCATCTGACGGGGAGAGGCACGCGGCCTGCTGCGCCACGCCGCCGCCGCCCACGCCATCAGGTGGGCCGCCGCCATAGACGCCACCGTCTGAGGCATCACTCATAACGAACCTGGTACACTCTTTTTCTGGTTGAAGAGCATGGTCTTGATTTTCTGTACTGCAGCTGCCGAGTTCCTCGATGTCCAACGCAATATGGATTATGACGACATGATCGCTGCTATGAGCTCGTTGTAATTGTAAACGAGCTCGAAATAACAGCTGCCCACTAGGCGCAAGTTGCGCCACCTCTTTTATGGGAACAACAAACTGTGAGGCATTTCATAAACCAGTCTCCTCCAAACAGGATTGCGAGAAGTGTTGGCAGTTTCAAATCACCATCACCGTCTTGCTTTTACGACCACTTCATTTCCGGTACACTATGATGGCATGGCTTTTTACGACACAAGCATAAATCGCAAGGCAACGAGCCCAAAATCGCGGCGCGCCACTCCTTACGGATTGCACACGCCACCTCCCTCGACGGTGCCGTTCTGTCGGGCGTGGTCCGTGCCGTACTGCTCCCCGCCCCTTCCCCCGGCAATTAGCCCCACGCAGCGGGTGGCGACCGCCGGTGCGGCCGGCCGGGGAATGGTCTGACTGCTGGGTCACGCACGGCGCGCAGCGGGCGCTTCCGCCGCCGCCGCCGCCGCCTCCGGCTGCGGTCCGGGTCACGTCACGGCTCCAGTGACGGCCGCCTGGAACACCAGCCGCGCCCGGGCCGGAGCCCACCAGCCGCGCGGGTGGGGCCGGCCGCAGCACGGCCAGCAGACTCGGGACGACAAAAAGGCGCGACCGGAGCGAGACCGCGCGAGCGCTCCCGTAGGCGCACGCCGGCAACAAAGGCCGGTCTCCTTTCGTAAGCAGATACGGGGCAGAGCGGCGGGCAAGAAGTCTGCGCGGAACCCAGCTGGGGCCGGAAGGCGGCGGCCGCGCACTGCGGGGTCCTGCCCTCCGGCACCTGCCCACGCCGTGTCGGACGCTCCAGAAGTTCCGCTGTGGACGACAGCTGCCCGGCAGTCGACCGCGGGCCGTACGCAGCGGCCTGGCCGGCCGGCCGCCGTCCAGCTGCAGCCGAGTGGCGGGTGCGCCAGCAGCGCCCGAGCCTGCAGCGTGAGCTCCGACGCCTCCGGCCAGCAGACGGCCGTCACGTTGCAGCCCGACACACGCCTGCTCAGTGGTCCCGGACAGTGGTCTAGAGCGCTCCGCCGTCACGCTGCAGCCCGACACACGCCTGTTTAGTGGGCTGGGACAGTGGTCTGGAGCGCTGCGCCCCCTCCCCCCCCCCCCCCTCCCCTGCGCCGGCCTGACGCGCCGCGTGCCGCAGCTCGGTACAACACCAGGGTGGTCCATGGTACATCAGGGACGGACAACTGCAGCGCGTGGGCGGGAGCGCGTGCGTGGTCGACCGTCGGCCCTCGGTCACGTGACCATGGCCGGGAGATGTGTCACTGGCGTCACACCGGTCCGGTAACCTTCCAAAATGCGGGGCCACGCAACGCGTTCGTACTTCCGTTCGCGCACGAGTCGCGCCCAGTATGGGTCAGAGCGCAAGCCGTGCTGAGCCGCGTGCAAAGCACTGACACTTGCACCCCTGGCCGCTTCCCCCCCCCCCCCCGCCACTCCCCTTCTGGAGTGAGCAGAAGGCCTCGGGAATGATGCGCCACTGGAAACCCCGCGACACCGGACAGGCCGCTGCAAGCTGCTGATTGAACACTCCGCCACCCGCTCTTGGACTTCTTTATGTATTGCGTAGAACGTCGCCCTGTCACCATTATGTTGCAGAGCCAGCTGTAACGAAGGGCATGCATAGATCTTGCAAGGAGTTTTGGGAGCAGCACAAAGTTTTGTCATGGGCTCATGTTAACTGACTCGCCCGCGGCTAACTTCCGTGACGCTGCCGTCCGTGGCGAGCAAGGGATAGCCACCTATCGATCCCGCAACCGACAAGCTAAAAAATATGTGGAGCCCACATCCCTCCCCGAATGTGAACCGCCCTTTCCAAGAAGGAAGCAGCATTTGATGCTCGAACTCCGAGATGAGTTACTAGGAATCTGCAACTTTCAGCAGCTGCCAAGAAGTGCCAAGACATCTTTGTCAAAAACTGGAATCACAGCCGTCTTATGTAAGGTTATAATGATATGAAATTGACTGACAGCGGATAATACGTTACATCTCAGTCTTTCCTATGCGCATTATGCACGCGCATATATATATATATATATATATATATATATATATATAATTCTTCATGGCTGTGGATAGCTGATTGGTCTCGGTGTGTGTGTGCCAAAGGGTCATGACCGTTTCTCTGACGGTCAGGTTAGCCTGCGTCACGTCCAGATGACCTGACAAACCGTCCGTCATAACATAACTGCTTCTCGGACTTTTGTTATTGCACGCTGCACAGCATGTAACATTGCTCCTGCATTGCAAGTTGTGACGCAATCTCGGAGGAAATTAGCATAGCTCTCGGCCTCGTTAGACCCGGGCCCATAAGCCTCCGGTCCTCATAGCAAACATCCAAATGACGTCACACGACCAAACGCTGAAACCGTGTCATACTCCAGCGCAGCAGCTGGCCAACAGGCCGCGTACTGTGTGCCATAGCCTTGAAAGTGGTGAATTGAATCTGACGTTCAGTACTGTTCAGGCCAGGTTCATCCAGACATCAGTGACTAAACGCTGCTATATTGCATTATAATGGCGTTTTATCAGTCGCCCACATAAATTCGCCCACCAAACATGAGTCGTGTCCGCACTGACGCCGATGTTACGTTTGACTTTTTCAGCTAGCACCTAGCTAGCAACTTTCCCTTCGAGTCACACCTAACCACAACACCTGTTAACGTCCGTTTAATAGATTGCATATTCAAATGACACTTGGATTCCCATGATGCGTGCCGGCGCCGCGGCCATGAGGTGCGTGCAAGTGTCCCACGACAAAGCCGTCACATTGTTTCAATATGGCATAACCTAAGATGGAAATGGGTCGATAAATGCACAGAAGTACGTTTCCCTCTTAGTTTACAAACTTCAATAAGAATACACAGGCTTATCTGGGGCTGTCAGCTATCCTGATTCATATATTCCAGTTCAATTTTGACGCACCATTGCAATGAACCTCAGCGGATATAAACATTGAGATATTTCAAAAATCGTAGTCTCTTACCATGGTTGTGACGTCACCAGTCACCTGTATATAAATAAATTAGCACGTGCTGTACTCGCACGATACAGGGTGCCATTATGTGTTTTAATTATCGGGATCTAGTTCGGGGCTCGGAAGCTATTTGCGAGCGGTGGCGGGCATCCACTCCATAAATGGACTGGCCAACGCCACAGCAAATATCTGCTCAACGCGGTTCGCTGCACATGTCTGTCACGGGCGTCCCTCACGTATGGCGGACAATCATGCACCGTTTTTATTACATTCCATTTTAATCATCCCGTATTTCCGCAGCGCCACCTCAGGTGCAGTCTGAGACCACCAAGATAACTCGTAATCACCATAAACTTAAGGCTGCTGGGTATTCTGCCCCGTCTTAAACCTACGTTAAGCTGACCTATCGGGTGTCCGAAATTGATGCTGCTCTGCTCCTGCGGCTTCGTGTGCCCGTGGCTACCGCACAACAAATCAAGTTTTATCGGAGCTCAGCACCAGGGCATGACCACCGGCGGCGTGACCTGTCGGGCGACCAGGGTCCCGCCCTTTAAGGTCAAACTCCCCCCCCTCTGGTCACGCGGCGCCACCGGCGTCAGCGTTTTGTGTATAAGACACGTATGTGTGCGTGTGGTCCAAAGCATGATTGTCGATCACACCATGCGGCCCAGTGCTGCTCATTTGCACATCTATATTTATTCCGCACTTGCTCGAACTGCCAAACAGTCGATACGCGTTGCTGGACGTTGCTGGGCGTTGCCATGTAAACACTACGGTCTCACCACATCTTCTTCGCCTCTCGACCAAGTAAGACATGGGCTTTGGGAGTGACATCACGAGAGTCAGGTAACCACGACACAGATCGAATGGGTTTCCTTCAAGTAACAAACGGGCTCCGAATGGCCAATGCATAACGTCGAGGTGCTGGCCTGTACTGGGTGGAGGAGGAAGGGGAAGGAGGCGTCAGTTCCGGACTGTTAACCAGCGAGCGTTGGTGCGGTGCTTAAGCTGGTCAGAAAGCGAAGATCATCGGTTGGCCACCGGATCGTTAGTTCGGTACGTGACGAAATGACCCAAGATCAGGTGGCCTCGGAGCTGTGAACCAACGTTGGACCCATCGGACGTCGGCTGT